CTTTTTTAAGTTTAGATTTGAGGGTCAAAGAGGACTTCGTACAATCTTGCAAAATTCAAGGGGGACTTCGTTTTTGCATTCTCGGAAAGCCATCTCGTGCCGAGCTTTGGTAAGAAGTTGCGGTCAACATCACATTTACCTTCCTTCCAAACTTCTGCCTCCCTCTTCCTTGGACACCTTTGTTACACTTCCTTTGCCCAACCATGATGTACAAAATTTCATCAGATTCTTCGCCACTACGATACTTAAAGTGTCCAGAATGCGTGGTTGCCGTCGTCGTCGTCACGTCTCCTGACTCAGATGGACATCCTGGATGAATTTCAATAGTGACCAATGCGCGTCTCGGTGGCGGTCACGACCATCCTCTATTGTTCGAAGCCAACGCCGTGCCATGGCGTAACGTCCATCCTTAGCATTTTCACTTACACACATGCCTTTTGTAAGTAAAATGACGAAGATAGTTGGAGTACGGGGAGTGCAAGTGCGGCGCGGGAGAGGAGGGGGGGGGAGGGAGGGACAGAATAAGGATGGAAAGCTGTAGGACAGTAGATTTTTTTAGGTCAAATAAGGTAATTTTGTCAAAGTCCAACATTTTTCCAGTTCACCTAAATCTTAAAAGCAATTTACCGCCTTCCTTTCATCGGCTGCGACACTTTCGCCCCTCTTCTGTCACAAACAATTCTAACTCTCGTGTTTATTTGTATTTCGTTTGTAGGACTGCCTTATATATTTCTACAAACACAATCCGCACCTCTTTTTCCTATATTACTCACTCATTTCACTAGAAATAAAAATGGCCTAAGGACCGGGCGTACATCACGCGATAATCGCCTCGCGATTTTCCTGAGATGACAACTGTTACGAATTTATTGCTTCTCGATCAACTTGCATTTCGGTGATTATTAGTCGGGTCGGAAAGCTCTCAAAACCGAGTTGCAAGATGACCGAGATGCGATGGACTCGTAGCAGTTGTCTTGTTGGAAGAATCGCGAACAATGGAATCGCGTGATGTATGCCCGGCCTTCTACGCTGAAAGCAGTAACTGGGAACAAATTTTATTCCGTCTCTACCAATATGGAATCCGTTGAGTTCAAGATGAAAAATACATTGCCGCTGGATTACATTATTGTAGACTGCCAAGCGTTTTACCAGTTACATTGCCAGTCCTGTCCATGATAAAGTTTTTCGAACTCTCAAGAGTCCTTGAGGCCACTTATAGCACGGATAAAAAACATGCAAAAATGATGGAAAATTTAATCGTCACGGATAAAAAACATGCAAAAATGATGGAAAATATAATCGTAAGTCTATTATTCAGTACTATACCACTCTCATTTACACCTGCAACCAAAAGCTCATTTATCAAGTCCATAAAAATGTTTCTGAACGTCCTCATCGACTACAGTCGATTTACAATGTCAAAATACAGGCGTTTGAATAGCCGGGGATTTCGCATCTCCTGTCATGGCCCTTCTGGCCGGCAAATTGCCAGCTCTTTGCGCGCAGAACGCAAACATTTGGCATGGCGCATGTGCAAGTTTCTATTATATTTCATAGTTGTATCTTGGAATAATCCCAATAACGGTTTGTATATAATCCCATTCCCTTTGTCCACGGCGTCATTTTTGGACAATAAATGCGTTAAGGGGGGGGGGCGGAGAGAGAGAGACTACGAAGTTTTTGCTGGACACTAGCAATTGCCTTGAGTGACTCAAAATCTTCAGTGGCATTTGGTAGCTAATATGCTCCATAAAACCATAAATTCCGAATTTTTTGGTAGCTCCGGCATAGATCATTGAAAAAAACGTCTTACCCTTGGCTTGGATACAAGAAATGTTGTATTATATAGATAACATTCCTTTCTACAATACCGATAACTGGGAAATTCCAAGAAAAGACCGGACTTTGGACTTTTTAGAGTACTGGCATCATGTGTTTCCAGAGATGTCAATAAAGTGTACATAAATAACTGTAAAGAAATTTCTAGAATTCCGGTGTTGAGCAGAGTACGTATGGCTAGAAGCCAAAAAGAGCCGGCTTGTCTGAAGAAAGAATATAGGAAACAAATAGGAAGGGAACGATATGAACCAAATTATTTGACACTGGTCAAATCAAACTTTGCAGGGATTTAGAATTTGAACGCTAGGCGATCATCAATAACACAAAGACATGAGATAGGGTGAAGTTTTCTGAGATTTTAACACCTTCACGACAAAGCCGATTTTTCGATTAATGCCGTTTTGGACCAGAGCCTTCTTCGCTTTGTCAAACTTACGCCCCACCCGTGGGTCATATTGTCCGAAATGGTAGTCTTTTTGGAAAAAGTTCAAAACATGTCCCTAAGGATTTTTCCAGTAAGGCGCTGATTATCAAAAAACAATTTGTTTCAGTTTTTGACGTTATACGGTAAGGTTACGGTAGTCATCCTGTACGAAAGCTTATGGATTTCCATGAAAAATTGTGTTTTGGGGCTGTCTCACATGCGGATCACGTTTATAATGTCCACTTCCTTCACTGCTGTCCCGAATTGAGGCTACGGTAGCAGTACGGTAAAATTTTCGTAAAAATCAAGAAACTGATATAAGAAGGTAGTACTGAACCTTGAGACTATCATTTTCGTAATCAGCATGCTACAACACCTATATAACTAAAAATTCGAGCTTCTTAGGATGAACAAGGCAAAAAATCAATAAAATCGATAATTTTTTGGTGGGCTAACGTCAGTCTCTTGCCCGTAACCGTATTGCTTGCGCATGTGAACTTGATTTTCCAGAAACAGCATCTTCTGCGAAGAATCTGAGCTAAAGTCTGTGCCTTATATCTACCAACGGTATACCTATCGTAACATTGAATTACAGTAACCCGAGCCCGGACCACTCTGGCTGGAGCTTCATTTAGGAGTCCCCAATCATGTGCCAGAATTCCTTAGAATTTCATCGTAATTTGGCAAGGTTAGAGCTTCAAGAATCTTATGACCCACAGGTGGGTCGTATTGTCGTGAATGTGCTAGCTGGAAATTGGCCAAGAATCATAGCATCATGTCAGTTGCTGTTTGCACAACCTCCTCATGACTTCAAAAATACGTCTTGTCCTCCAAAAAGGTGATCGCATTTGAGATCAAATTGTTGCCACGTTTAAGTTGGTCTGTAACTACACCTATTCGTAGCTACCGTGTCCTCACTGAGAGTGAGTAACTTTGCATATGATTCATAAATCGTTAGACAACTTTTTGAGTGAAATAAGTCATGTGTACAAAAAATTGCTCTAAACTGAGTGATTGATTCAGGGCTACCATAAGAAAGTGCTTTAGAAACCTCGAATTTGCTATTTCGCCTAGAGAGATTTAGCTTAATAATGTCAATTATTTGTTGTACGTATTAGGTTACGAATCAATTGTATCAAACACAGTTGATCTTTCCAACTTCACATAAATTTCATCGCCCAGTGCAATCTTCATCACTTCAGACGATCGAATTAGAATAAAACTGAATTGCTCATTCACTAAACGCTAATCAGCAGCGAACGTCTCTTGTCGCAAAGATTTCGCTAGCGAGAGAACGAGATTCTTACAACAAAAAGAAGTTGTCATCGACTTGATTCGCTTCATCGCACGAAGCTATACGCGTAGTGGGACCTACATATCTGAAGGCAATGTCCAGTCTAATATAGCTTTTTGTGTTTCTTATGTAAAAACTGATTGGAGAATACTAATCAAGCCATTGCCTAAGCGAAGGCTTTTATCCATTGGTGGCCGAGGTGTTCAACTTTGAAGTCTCGCCCAGTTACCGTACTCCTTTCCAGTGGATCGAGTGGAGTACGGTACTGGGTAAACTTTGATGTTGCGCTGCGGTCACGATTGAAAATCATATGAGCTGCCGCTTGGGTAAGAGCTTCTCGATCAGTACCACGTAAGAAGCCTAAGTACCCACCCCAGTCTAGACGCTGATTTTGTAACATTGCTTGCAAATTTATCAAACTAATTTGTTTCATCATCTGTCGAGCGAATTTTCCCGCTTATCAGACAGATCAGAGCAACCTACAACGTCAACTCTTAGAGCATTTACGTAGTTTCGACAGTGTTTTACAGCGCTTCTTATCGTTCTCAGCTGCAAGCTGTCAACTCAATCGGCCATGTCGCCGACATTGTAGCACCAAAAGCACGAGCTTCACTCTATCAGGTCACAAAGTCATAGCAGTTCACTTCAGTTCTGACGCTTTTTTTGTACTTGCTTATGTATTGACGTAAACCGAATATCTGGTCTGACACGGCTGTCATCGAAATGAGGCGAAAAAATAAAATTCGACATGAAACCGTGTCAATTTTGTCAATGGCCTTTCATTTGCTGATAAGAAATACTTACATTATGCAGGGCGTTTGAAAATGCAAAAACACATGGATATAGAAAAATCAATCGATAACGATCGATAATGGACCTTACTTAACACCAAAACCTGTACATGAGATTTATCAGGCTGTGATGAAAGCTTCATACTAAATATGCCACAACATTATGCTTGCTGCCATAATTTTACTCTCTTTGAGAAAAAAAAAACTAGAGAGTTTAAATTTTTTCAGAATTATTACGGGATCCTCCAGTTTTTAAATAGTTCGCTCATCGTATTTGTTGTGAAATCTGCTTGAATAGCTTTATTCGCTTGCAAATATTATCTTCTCAACGTCTCCATTTACTCGTTTTTCCATCCAAAAATTCCTCTTTGTTTTTGTCGCGCTCATCCTGTTTGGTTGGCTCCGCCCATTTTTCGCAAGCGACCATGATTTGCGCATTTATAGGTCCCGATGCGAAAAATCAAAAATCGACACTATATTTGGGAATTTCCATACAATTCGTCCCCCATTCTACCATTCTAGAAAAAGATTAGGAAAACTTATTGCTTACTCAGAGCAACGAAGAAATCTATCTGCATTGTTTTTGTTGTCTTTGAGTCATTCTATGAACAATAATACTATCTTGAATTACGTTTTTTATTCTACAAAAAACATGGCTAATCACAAAACAGTAAGTTTTTCTTGGATGTTAGTTCGTGACAAATGCTAAATAAATATGTTAGTCATCAATGTCTAAGCCACAGAAAATTTTGCACATGATAATAAAGATAAGCTTTTGCACCAATTTGGAAGCTTTCATGCAACTCTTTAGTGTTCTATTACTTTTTTTCACCGCCAAAGCGTCAGGTGATTGCGTAATGAAGAGAAAAACAAATATTGATTAATGATTGACTATTAAGTTTCTAATAATAATGAGCGTGAAGAACAAAACTATTGGGACGTAAGTGCAGAATAACATAAAATCGTCTCCCAGTTCTCAAGCAAAATTTGGAGAAAAATCTTTGGTGCACTCGCTTTTATCTAAAGACATTATAGCTAAAACCGTGCTTAGCTAGCTTACACATACTAAATGACTGCATCTTTAGTCACAATAAAATAAAAGAAAAACAAAGTATATTTCCGTTTCGATCCTTTCACTATACGGAAATTAGATTGATATACGGCCTTCCCCGGATCTCATCAGTAGTGAAGGAAGGCCGTAGGAGTAAAAATAAAGGGAGAAAAAGAGAAAAACTAACCTAGAACTCCTTATAACGAGTAGTTGATCCAAGTGTTAGAATAATGTGGTCTCAAACTTGGGTAATTAAACAAGCTGGTAGGAGCTTACAAAATGCAGAAAATGATAAGATCTCGGAGAAGGATGTTCGGTACTATTTCATGTATAAAATGCTACTCTTAACATCACGCAATTTATATGGTTATCAAGAATACATAATCCTGTAACTAGGTTATTCACACTAACAATAGTACAATGCGCACAAAGTAAGCTAAAGCCGAATTAAAGGACCTCAAAGATGCGATTATACTTCTTGCATGTCCTGTCTGAGTCAGTAGTGTCGATATATGTTTATATATACATGGCTATTCAGAAACAGTAATCCAGAAGTATACCTTTCCCGAATTGGTAAATGTAGGGGTGATTCGGTAACTTTTCTGCCCCGTATGTTGGACACCAAATTTTCAACAGGAAATTTTGCTCTAATCTCACACTTTGCACAGGGGCAGAAACTTCTATCAATCAATTTTGATTCCTGTATTTTTTAAAATGGGAAATTCTTTTAGCCACGAATCAATCGCATATTTGTCTTTAATGTTGTCATTCATGCATCACTCATTCACCTGCCTACTTATCTCTCTTGTTCATTCATCTTCATTCATTCATTCATTATTCAGTCATTCATTCATTCATAATTTATCTATTTATTTAGTGATTGAATAATTCATTCACCATTCAATCCGTCTAAGGCCTCGGACAGAGTTCACGCGATTTGATCGTCGCGATTCAATCGCCGCGATTTACATTCATTTTCATTCCATATTAAAAAATTTCGAGCTGGAAAAGTATCACAACCGAAATGCAAGCTGGTCGGCATGCAATGAACTCGTAACAGTTGTCTTGTCGCGATTGATTCGCGACGATCAGATCGCGTGAACTCTGCCCGAGGCCTAAACTCGTACCATCTTCTTTTGCTTTTTCCAATATTCAGTGCTAATGCTATCACTAATATTTTCTAGATAACTTCTGGTGTAAATGGATATAGCTGCGACTACAGTCCAGCAACGTATCTGACATAGCGTTCAAGCATAAGGTTCGTATTTCTTTGTGGGATTTGCTAATTTCGGCCATGTTTTCTCCTAGATGAACGATATCGGAGGATGTGACAAGACAGCCTACGGATGGCATCCGCTGAGTCCAGACGGTGGTACGGATGAGACCAGTTACGTAAGTGCTGTCAAAACGGAATTTCCTCTCGACGACGACATGTTTGCGATAAACAAGGTATTTTTTCTACTTTGACAGTTGCTAAAAATTTCAACACGTGACAAATTTTTGCAATGTTAGACAATTGGCGCTAAATGGCTTATCAGTAAACGGCTTGAGTGTAGCTGATATCATCGAAACGCAAAACTTGGTCTTCAGTCAATACGGGGAGGGGGACTGAATTCGGTGAAATTATGAGTAGTTTTTGTTCTTCTAGTCGACGCGGCCGCAGCAGCAGCCACCACCGCCGTCGGCGGCGGCGCCACCACCGCCACCACCACCAGCTCCACCATCAGCACCTCCTTCAGCCCCCGATGACGTCATGTTCGCGAAGCCGAAATCCGTGCCGACGGCCACCTCAGACGCCGCTGCGGCATCGTTACAGACGGCCTTCTGTAAGAAACCGCCACCGCCGAAGGTAGGCATCTATCGTCTCCAACAGCGAAACGCTATGCAGTGCTCACCCACTATTCCCACTACCGCTGCCGCTATTCCTCCTACGCAGCAGATCCCATATCTGCTTGATGATCTACCTGATATGGTATGTTACATGTACTACTCTTGTTACTGTATCTTCTTTGTCAGAGCAGCAAAAACAGAGTTTCAGCGGTAACCCAAAACTTACCAGACCCTAAGACCTAGCGCTATAAATCTCTCAAAGCGCGCTGAATAATACGAGGGTGAATATAATAAGTAACACTATCGATAATCCCTGTTGTTCCCCCACCTTCCCAAACTTGCGTAATTCAGCATTCAGATTGCATATCGTCATAAATAGGTATATCACCTTCAAAAGCTTCTAGCAGCGAAGGAACCCAAAGTCACCGTGCCTTTCCACAGAGATACATACGAGAACTTGTCTCGGACTGCTGATTTTGTATCTGTGCTCATCATTTGCTGTTACAGAAAGTTAGGATCGCGACATCAATGATGATCCGCCATTGTGAGAAATTTGATTTTGAGAAAAACAAAAAACCTTACAAAGCAAATCTTGACCCTCTGCAACCGTGCACTTTTGTCATGAGAAAACGTTCATAACTCTGTTCAGAAAATGACTTTGCAGATAGCGAACATAGAATCGTGATAAGAGTTTCGAAAAGAGTATTTCCATACAGTGTAAAGCTGGAAAGGCCACGGTGACCTCGGTCCTTCCCTGATAAGAATGCAACATTTATTATCAAAAATTTATAATGCTGCTCCAAGCACGATGATTTCCTTTTCACCCTTGGGTTAGTGAATTTGCAAGCATAGCACGCGTAATCAAAAGTATCCTAATTTGAAGGTTTCAATACTAATATTTCCTATTTTTATTTCACACAGATTTATAGGAATTTTAGAGCATTTTTGACCTAAACAACTTGTGGGAAGTTATCATGTTCTTTACACTAATAATCATTTCTTACATTCAGTTCAAAGGGTTGCATTTAATTTATAAAAAAACATTGCATACGTACCTTATAAGAAATTTTGCAAACAAACAGTTCCAAATTGCTTTGCATTTGACAGTTTGTTCAAAAGTACTAACAAAAAATTTGAATCTTACTTCACTGACTTGGATCATTAATCAACTTCTTTCAGCGTTCCTTAAAGGCTCAAATCTTTTAGTGGCTAACAAAAAATGTCTTCTTTTTTATTCTGAGCATTGTAAATTTTTTGCACTTCTAAAAATGCTTGCACGACTACATTGTAGTATGTAGCTGTCCATAATTTGTGCTGTTTTTTACAAAATCAGAACAGCCAAGTGGCATTTCAACGAAAGAATCAAAAAATCGCATTTTTGGTCGTTTTCGTAAGCTCTTATCAGTATCTAGAAGGTTTTTCTGAGACAAGGTAATTGCTGCTTAATATAACACCTTTATCAGAACGCGATTTTCTGAAATCTGGTGGATATAAGTATGAATAGGTTCAGATTTATGTTGATGTGATCCATTAAATCATAACCCTTTACGATTGTGAGTCCAAAAGGGGATAAAGGGGAAAATTGCTAATTTTTATGGTGGTCGAGCAATGTGTCAACGGTTGCGAAGATTTACATTCGATTGATAGACACGAAGTGACTTGCTACCTCCACTGATAAGGTTCTGGAATTTTCCAAAAACATGCATTTCTGATTCACTTCTGTGAAGCCGACATTGATATTTACAGATCATTCATGCCTTATCAGCGCTTATCACTCATGACTTGTTCTCTCATTATAGTTTCTCTTCAGTCATTGACGTCAATACGACTCAAAGAGCATCCATAAGAACCGGAGCGTAGACATCTGGCCTAAAAAATGTGGGCAACCCATCTGGTTACTTCAGTGCCCACTTAGAACTTGCAAAAGAAGGCGAAAGGGGCCGGCTCTGGCCCCACTCACTTCACCACCACACTTCTCGGCTGACCCGGATCTCGACTGGCGTCAAGCGATGACCATTGAAAGCTTGAATGACTCGGTTTTTGACGGTCTGCTGAGTACGCGCTCACGCCGGGGCCCCGTCGGACCGACCGAACGGGTTTCTTGACGCATGGACTAGTGAAAGAAGTGTGCGCGCACCTAGTGGTCAGTAATGGCGCCCGGTCTTCTGAAGTTTTCTGCCTGCTGATGATGCTGCTGTGCTTGAAGAAGAAGAGCGAATGAACGACGAAGAACACTGAAGAAGTCGTTCGGGCATTTGTTGCGCGCCGACGCCGACTGAGAGGGAAAATACGAACGCTACGATGTGGTGTGAACAGAAAAGGAGTAGCGGATCTTGATAGAATTTACGGCTACTAAACTCACCCGGATATTCAAGGCTTTATCTGCTAACATAAAATAATTCGAAAAATTGTAGTTACTACGTCTCCCAAAAAGAAGGACAATTTTTTTCAAAAAACAAACAAGTAACAACTTATAGCTGATCCTAGCAGTGCAAGACTCTGTAGAATAGCGAGGGAAAAATCTGAAAAATTAGCAGTCCAAATAGTGCAAAAGGCACCTGCAATAATCTAGCGTGACCTGACAAATTAAAGTTATTTTAGACCTTAGGCCTTTCGATAGGCTTTACATTACCAATAAATTCTTACCTTTATCTTATTTTGGAAAAAGCTACTCCAATACTTTTCAGAATCAAGAGAACATCACCTTCAACCCTGTAATGAACGATGTGAAAACGGAAGCAAGTGACGGTGAGTACAACTATCTTCGAAACTTTTGGAAAAAGTTAGCAATAAAAATTTATCTTTCTTTTTCATACCTGCTTCCCCTTATCATTTATTTGGGCATAATTTTTCAGCTAAAAACATAGCAATGATATGTCCTTACGTGCTTAGCTAAAAGATTGAAGATTGAAGGAAGATTGAAAACGCTTTGTGGCCACCTCCAGCGTTTACCGATGATGTTTCAGGAATCGCAGTTTTTTGTATTCAAAATCACCCAAATCTTCCTTTGTGCTCAACTATATAGAAAGTACCACAATAAATTCCTAGAAGGCCTCATCGATTAGCAGTCTAGTAGGAAACTTTCATCACTTTTTTGTTTTGGAAATGAAGGTGAAGAAGGGTTGGGAGGAATAGGAAAAGTTTTAGAAATGTACTTCGTTGTGCGCGAGAGTCCGGAGCCACTTTGACTGCTCTCTTTGACTCATTCAGCTATTCAAATGAGTTTAGCGTCATTCACGTTTTTCTCAAAAGATCATATCTTCTACTTTACGACACGGAAAATTATACTGTTTTTGATCAAGAGTGCAAGCGGAGTCCTTTGCTGAAAATACTTGCTAAGGATCACTGAATATAATTTTTCAATTTTTTAACAAATTGAAAATAATTGGAATTATTTAGAATAATTTGGAATTAAAAAGATTATAGCTTAAAGTGTAAAACCAATTTCTTGAAAATAAATTCAACAAGCTTTACTAGAAATGCGATCTCACAATTACTTTACCACAAAACTGGACGACCGGATCTCGCTACAAATACGCTTCTTACTTCTCTATAATTTTCCCAACAACAATCATCACCTTAGACCTACTTCTGCGCGCATTTTCTGTACCAGTTCCCATCGAGTTTCACTTTCATCGTCACTTGTAGCAGTCTCGTTCTCCCGCGCTGAGATCCCGGTGCTTGGAACCGGTCTCGGGGCCGTTCACTCGGCAACCGGTCGCATTTCACTAGGGCGGCCAACACGAGGCGAGTGAGCGCGCGAACACTGAGTCGCTGCAAAAAAGTTAGATATCGAGGAATCAGGATATTACTCCAATGCAGCAGTTTGCAGACTACAGACGATTGCTGGAGAGATCTGGGTGCGCGGCCGCGGAGCGAAAAGAACGGGTCAAGGGAGTGTGGGAGTGTGGGAGAAAAGGGAGAGCGAGGGAAAGTGGCTTTGAATTTATTGAACTTGAACTTGCTCGATCTTTACTCGGGTATAAGAGATACTCAAGAAAGACTGCTAATCCTTTGTCTGACAAAATGGCGACCCTCTATCTACCTCCCCCCCCCCCCGAAAGATGAAGCTGAAGTAGCAGGGGGAGGGGTGGGCAGCAACTTTGCATCCAGGTGCTTATGTGCAAGAGCTGTGCTCACGTTGACGCGCTCCGTCGTATTGATCGATGGCGCTGAAATGGCGCTGGCACGGAACTGGCACGGCGCTGGCACAGACAAGTCTAAACGCATGAAGAAGCTCAAGAAGTTGAAACGACCCAGCTACTTAAACTAACGATTTTCCGCAAATAACTCCTTCTTGTTCAATCCATCCCAAAACAAAGCGAAAATATTGGTTCTAAAGGTTTTCTTCCAATTCATACCTCATCCATTCTTCTTCAGAGATCTATGGTGGATACGAGTCATCGCCTTTCGGCACAACCGCAACCCCTTGTGCCCCACAGGAAAATGTACCGGTCAGCTGCCAAAATGGCAGCGCATGTGTGGACGCTCAACAGATGGACATTTACAGGTACCCGCATTCTCAAAGGTTTTATAGAATTTACGGTACAGTTACAGTTTCAGAGAATTGATCCTGAGACATCTGATTCAGGATATTAGCACCACTTGCGCCAAATTGGGTTTGCCAACAGGTCAGTTTGATAGTTTTGTAGGAGTTTGTTTGGTTGATTGTGAGTGAAAAATAATTGAAGGGGAGAGGGTAAAGGGAGGGAAAACAGCGAAATGTGTGTTGATTATGAGCTTAATGCCAGTTTGTTTGCTATCCAGACTGTTGGCGTCGATAGGCGGAAGTGAGAGCGAGCGAAAGCCACTGGTCAAACAGATACACAATGGCCGTTTTCTAATGATTGAAGAAATCAACAGAAAGTTTAGTGTGATGAGGAGAAAGGTTGGGTTGGCGGGGGGAGAGGGATGGGGGAAGGGAAAAGAGAGGATTTAAGGAAAAAACTTGCAATCACAATCATGTATGCCCTTTCTTAGCGATTGAAAAGCAAAATTCATAATGTTTCACTCTTCAGTTACCCATTTCAGATGCCCAGAATTGGACGCAAGAGCATGGCTCACGTTGGATATCTGAAATGTGCCAGCAGTTTAATCTAACACCACCTCGTCATACTTATTTGAGCGGACGTGCACTGCTCAGCATGACTCAAAAAGATTTTGTTGCCTTGGCTCCCGAAGGCGGTGACACCCTCTATGCTCAACTACAACTGTGGAAAACCGGTGAGACAAGATCAACAGATTCCAAAAATTTTACTTCACTTTTACTGAAGAAAAGAGTATATAACATAGCATATCCTGAAAATAAAGCTACCGCGAAGCCTCGGCTCACTTGCGCAGTGTGTCGCGATAAAATGAGAGTGGTCTGTAACAAACGCTATCGAATTCGCAGTTTATGAGCTTCACTCATATGACATGTTCAAGTCCAAAATTAAGAGTTGCTGGGTCTTCCTTGAGAAATTCGTAGCGACAATCATTTAAAACCATGATTACCGCAACGCAGCCGCAAGCGTAATCATTAACATAATTCTCATTTTTGTTTTTTGTTCAAACTAGGCAGTTGCAGTCTGATAAAATTCGAATGAAGACAATGGGCTGATTATGAGTCAAAAATTACCTTATTTGAACTCCATACCCATCTTCATCGCTCTTTCTTTGTCTAACAACTTCTTCTTTAGCCTTCGAATCCTATCATCAACAACAAAATGGTGGGCAAAGCAGCGGTGGTATGACTGCCGCTGACAATTCAATGCCGAAGAACAACTGGGTATGAGGAAATAACTGCGTGCATTAGCTTCCCGAACAGATAGTTACGTTTAAGATGGTACCTGGTCAAACAATGATAGGTGGTGAACAGATGAAGAATGCTACTGTCTTTGGACAGCAATATCCGGTTAATGAGATGCAGCAGCAGCAATACTTTGGCAATGGTAGGTTACCAATTTTTTTCCATTCACTACACTGTTGTAAGCGTAAAAATTTTCTTAGGAGCTATTGGAACAGCAGCTCCAGATGGACATGCATTTTTCGGAAATGGTGTACTACCGTCGCCAAGTGATAGTGATAGAAGCAGTACTGCGAGCATGCATGACAGTTAGTAACTCGCTTACTTGACATACTCCCGTGCCTCATTTTTTTCTCCTTGGTAATGAACCGATATTTCCAGTGGGTGATGAAGATTGTGTCGACATCCAAAGCATGCTTCAGATGCAGCAAGATGGAATGCGATTTTGCGGTCAGATGAACGGAATGAAGTTAGCTTTGCACATAATAGCTACTTTCATTTCCAATCATAACTTATTAGCAAATTGCTGCTTTCAGTATGAACTCTGCGCAAACACCTCCAACAGAAGAACAACGTCCTTCACCGTTCCCGCGACACTCTGGTACCGTACACCTTTGGCACTTCATCCGTGAATTACTTGACCATCCCAATAAACAATATGGATCGTGTGTTCGTTGGGTAGATCGCGACGAGGGTGAGAAACTTCAAACAAGTTCTTCTGCTTGCATACTAGTTTCCGACAGATCAGTAATAGCGTTCACTCAAGTCTAATATTGTTATAGGAACATTCAAGATTGAATCCTCTCATCATCTGGCCAGATTCTGGGGACAACGCAAGAATCGCGCGCAGATGAACTACGATAAATTGTCGCGTAGTCTCCGGCAATACTACAAAAAAGGTAAAGTCAGCTGATTCTTGGGATAGATTGAAATAAACGATAAATTTATCACGAATACCAAACTTACTAGCATGTGAAATGATTTTGCAAGAGCATAAAGTACTCGAGTATTTTGTAATTTCTACAGCCAAAATAAAGAGTGCTCCAGAAGTAAATACACACTTTTTGATCGTTAATAACTCTTCCTGCTAAGCCTTCTGATTAGACCTAGATACCATCAGTAGGGCGGGCTTCAAGTCAAATATATAGTCTGGAGCGAGTCATCCATCGCTCTTCAATAGTGTAAGGTTATGGTAGTAAACTCAAGAAGGTTATTGAGCCATGGAAAGCCCAGCTCTCCTCGGAAAGCGGCCCAAACAACCTGAAAGTTTACTCACTAAGCTTTTCAGAGCCGCCGACGCTAAAGACGCTTTTTAACTTTATACCGCAATATTCGTTTCCAAGTTAGGCCAGGTAAACCGCAATAGCTGCTTTAACGACGCTTCTTAACATTGTGATAACATTTTTCAAAATGCTATACAAACTAACCCTGGTAATTTTCAGACAATTGGGAATTTTTCTTTGAAACACGGTTAATCCATAGTGACGCTTTTAGCTGAAAGTTTCTACTGTATCTTACACTAACCAAGAGCGATGAATGATTACCCATACAAATTAAGTTGAAGCCCGCTTTACCGAAATTACTTGACGCTATGACTTCGTTGGAGAACAGTTAACACGTTTCGGACCGGTGCTGCACATGGTGCAGCACGCTGCTTTGAAGGATCTTTCTAACGTTTACGGGAGGTTTTCTCTTTGTCCAAGGTTATCAAGTCAAAGGCCTAAGCTCCCTCTTCTCAAATGACTCTGTAAGGTTGTGTCGCCGATATTTGTTTAGAAGATATGAGCACAAATCGAACAACAGTCGCAACGAAGTGCGGCAACGCGAACGACGCGTGCGACGTCGCAACTTTCCTTTGCTTTGAACTCAAAGAGAAAAACCGCAGTTTCGATAATGATGTGTATGGTGTACAACATAGATAGTTTTGGGTACAATTAGAAACTGAGTTCTTGTTCCTATCTTTCAAGAAAGCACAGAAGTCCTTCTCAGGCGACAAAATTCAAACACTTTGAATTCGCTCACAACTTTGAGTATGGATCTTATTTGACATGCTGATTATAGATGTAGCACACAGTCTACGAATTAAGGCCCCTTTGTTGGCTAACGGCTGAAAGTACCCTCCTTTTCGCCGCGCGCGATTTCGCGGTCCGAAACGTGTTAATGATAAAAAAAAAGTGTGTACTTACTTTTAGGAGACCCTGTATGCGGCATGATAAAATTAGCTTTTGAAAATTTAACGAAGGCACTTTGTAAAATTAACTAAAGAAAATTATAAACAAGACAAATCTTCAAATTTAAGACTTAATATATTGCATAATTGGAAAGATAATAGAAGTTTGTGATTCATAAGTATCGGACAGTTAAAATCACTCTGAAAATACAAGTCTTTGCTATGCGATGTCCAATCGGGACGCAAAGAAGTGCGCGTCTTTGAGATCGCTTCCGTCAGGGTCTCGTGCTCTTCACTTCCACTTTCTTTAAATCAAAATTCCCATTGTCAAAGCACAAGTAGGATATTTGTTATACAGTATATTACAAAAACACCCCTGACCCCACCTCTTCTGCATATTTCAGGAATCATCCAAAAGCCGGAGAAGAAACAACGACTTGTGTACAAATTCTTACCTCCGTACAATCTGTGATCGCGTCTCTCGCACGACGTCGGAACTGCAACGACGACGACGGCGATGACGATGCATATACGAAGCCGGCAGTCCACCATTCTTTTTTGGACTAGCCGGTCAAATCGTGCCGAACTGCCAGCCAATGACTTGCCAAACTTGCGTCAGCGCACTTCTTGCCGATTATGGTGACGTCTGCCGTCACATTTCCCCTCTCACCGCTTCGTCTTCACCTTCTTCTATTGCTTCTGCGTGTTGTGTGTGTTTCTCACTATATCCACTAAGATATATCACCGCGTAATGTTCGTTGTAGAACATTTTCTTTCCACAGCCTAGCTTCCCCATCTGCCTTAATGTTACTGCACAAGCACTTGGCAATAATCAAAAGCAGGTTGTGTTCACTATTGAGAGCACACACTACAAGAACTATATCATCAAGTTTTGCTCTGAATCTTGCCACAACCTGTACATATTTCTAAGAAAGTATAATCTAGCAACCGGTACGTCATCGTTCGAGTGTCCTTGATCATATCCATTGCTCTATCTATCTGCTGCACCTGTTCATACTGTGCATTTCCTACAAATTGGTCTCTCTGAGCTGAACTGAGAATGATTTGCTCAGTTCAGCCATTCTATCATTCTTCAGCGGCAATATTCTTTCATAACATGGTTCGATGCAATTTCTTGTGCAATACTCGTCCTTTTTCTTTCAATTTTATGTGTGTATATGACACTCGGTGTTGAACAACGTGCAATCATAACTGCAATGTGATAATCATCCTTAATACATTCATATTATATACCAATAAATATTAATATATTACTGTCATTCAATGAAGGCAAACGCATTTTGGCTGATCTTTAGTTCCCACTCCAGAGCATGCTCTCGCAGGATAACGACAAGCATTACAAATGCATAAAACAAATAAAGTTCTCGGTTTCTCTAGCAAAAAACAGAAAAATATGTCACTACGTGACATTTCTATAGATGGGATATAATAATATCTTATGTGCCACCTTCTGTCTCATATGTCATGCATGTTGATACAAAATATAAAAGGTAAAGATGCGAGCGATACCTTAGAAGCGTTAACGGACACCGAACCAACTGTACAGCATTAATAATCTTGAATCTCAACTTCCACCTTGAGATACAGAGATAAAAATAAACCAAAGATCAAGATGACATTTTACTGAATTGATTCCCTTTCCCGTTTAGCGTGATTAGAACCGAACATTTTTCGAATATTCGCATTCGAATGATTTTTTCGAGCTAAAAAAGTCTAATATTCAGGAAGGTGCATTCATTTAATTATTCGAATAGTCGAAGAAATAAAAAAGACAAATTATTTGAGATTTTATTCGCTTTTGTTTATTCGACGAATCGAAAAAACAACTTATTCGAAATTTTAATTGAATATTCGAATATTCGGATAATTTATTTTTTCGGTCCTGAATGAACAGATATCCGAATAAAGGTCTTTTTCATTTATTCGACTATTCGATTAATCAAATAAATGCACTTTCATGGATATTCGCCTTTGAATGAATCGTTCAAATACGATTACTCGAAAATATTCGGGTCTAACTATACGTGTTTCTTCATGATTAACGCATTAAAATTACCAAAGTTAGCTTCAATTTTGTACATTATAAGCAAATTATTACGAATATCCTAAATTTGCCACACTTTATATTATATAATTTTTTTGTATTATTATTTACCATAAAAATGTCCAAAAACCATAGTAAGCTTGCTTTAGATTTTATCACGAGATGTTTTTTGCTAGACCTTGCAGGCCTTCTCTCTTTACTAGGGAGTTTCGCGGAAAGTAGCAAGATCCATTACTACTTTTTCTAAAGGAAAAGCAAAGTTTAAAACTAGTCCTACTTTCTCGTAAATGCAAAAGTAACTAAAGTAACTAAAGTACGTGCAGTAAATTTTGTAAGCAGGATGTGCAAATTTCCAATCTTGCGTTTTTAATCATCAGTAATACTGCATCAGTAATACTGGATGCGGTGGAAACAAACTTGTGAGGCGAATGTATTTAGCGAACTCAACAATGAGCACAATGCTATAACTTGTAGTACATGAGGTGAAGTAGCGCATGTGCCAGCAGCTATTCGCTTCAGGACCCATATAGATTAGTCACAGTTCTTACAAATTCGCTTGCACCAGTAGCAGAGTGAAGCCTCCTTCAAAGTAATTTCATACTTTTCAACCAAGAATATTGGGAACCAGTCCAAAGCGCCGCTTCGCGGCGCTTTGGACTGGCTGTGTGCGAAGTGGGATATGCTCAAAAATTAGAAGCTTTGAGGTTTTCTGGTGTGCCTTTTCCCCCCCAGGATATATGAATAATAATAGACTGTGCCGCTTGCGCACTATCATTTGGCGCATGCGTGAAGTTCTTAATAACTTTTTGCTCGTACACAGAATGTGTGCAAGGATTTTTGATTGGAAATCTGACTAATCTTGTCCATATCTTGTAAGTTCCGTAACATTTATAGTCATGCTATGATAATCTCAAGCTGCCTAAAAATCTCAATTGATAATGACTTGAGCATGGAAATTGTGGAATTGGAGTTTACTATAGAAAACAACAGTAACAAAAATACCACATGAACAGGGAAAAAAGCACTAGAGCGGATAAGTGGTTATGTCGAGTGACAACATTAGCGCGAGTAAATTATACATAAACGCAGAAGTACATTTTTATAGAGATGTCCAGTATTTTACCACTTACATAAAGAAGAAGTCAGTATTTAGGTAACAACAGCAACAGAAGTAGTAGTAGCATGTGAGAGATAATTGCAAGTCTTAGGGTAAATAAGTAGGCTGTGACAGGTCATTTTATAATGGTAACTATCATATAGCGATTACTGGGCAATCTCCGTTTTTTTAAGCGCATTGATACAAAGTCTAGGATGATTTTTCATGGCCAAGGCAGGTGCTCATTCCAGTGGGATACGCTACTATCCAATCCATCCACTCCGCAATTGATAATTTTATAGAAACTCGTGTTGCTTGGAGCGAAATGAGTGGAGCGGATAGAGTGAACAATTATAGCACGCGTCAAACCAAAGTTGTCTCATACTAAGGCACATTTCATTTGTAGGAGCCATAACATCTCGGCCTATTTGTAAGGTGTACTTCTATATAGATAAGTGTTATCAGTTGAGAACCGCTCTGATCACAACATTTTTCACTCTTTCCTCCTTTTTGTGGACTCTAATTCCTTCCATTCGTCGGGCTCTAGATAGGGCCACATATAGCTGACCGTGCGAAAATACCTCAGACTCAAGGGAGATGCCCACGCTAGTGAAGGTCTGTCCTTGAGCCTTATTTATCGTCATAGCAAATGATAAACGGACAGGAAATTGTCTTCTTCGCAATCGGAAAGGTACTCCTACTTCGGTGAAGATGTCTATGCGTGGTATCAGCACTAATTTTCCTTTCCTATCCCCTGATGCGAACCGACATCCTAGGATAAAACGCCCAAAATGAGTGACGATCAATCTTGTCCCATTGCATAGCCCATTTCTAATATCGAGATTTCTCAAAAGCATGACTATCGAGCCCTCTTTCATCCGAAGATTGTGAGGAGGCATCCCAGCAGGCGCTAAGCTGTTGAGAAATTCGGTCGTATATTCGTTCTGTGGTTCATCGCTAATCACATCGTCAACGCTCTTATACTCGTAAACTCGTCCGGGGAGTTTTCCCAATGCTTCTTCATTAATCCGATACGCTTCGATATTCCGAGGTGCTAGTATTGCTCGTTCACTCAAGGTATGAAAATCAGTCAACGAATCACCGAATACTTCACTGATAAGATCGCCTTTAGAGAGGATTTCAGTTGGAAGCTCTATGCGGCCCATCTCATCTTCTTCTGCTGTTCCGTTCCCAATTCGCATCAGAAGATCACACCATGTCGAGCCAGATTCTGCAGCTCTAATATTGACAGAGAGCCGATGCATAGTGAAGCAGCTCCACAGGTCGCTGTTCTTTACACATGCATCAATCATATCTCCTTCGCTTCCTCGCTCTACAATTGGCAGCACTTGCCGAAAATCACCACCCAATACGACTGTTTTCCCACCAAAAGGTGCTGTATTGCACATCAAATCCTTCAGAAAAAGATCAATAGCTTCGAGTGGATATTTCGAAACCATGCTCACTTCGTCACAAATAATAACATCTGCTTCTTTGATTGGAACGGCATCCTTGTCTTCACGTCGTAATGAGCACTGACGATTTCCGGACTTCATGTTGAGCTTGAAAGTCGAACTGAGTGTTCTACCTTCGGGCAATAGGTTTGCAGCTATGCCAGTCCATGCTACACATATTACACGTTTGTGTTGGCCCTTCAAGATGTGGTAAACGGCATTGTAAAGGTAGGTCTTTCCGCTACCGCCGGGACCATCAACAAAATGCAGCTTGGAACGGTCATTCTCAAAAGATGCCAAGATATCATCTGCTGTTAACCTCTGTTGCTCATTGAGGTGCTCGTACATCTCACTGCCTTTTCGCTCATGGAAGGCGTAATCAGTGTGATCCGCCAAAACCGGCCTATTTTGTGAGGGTGGCGTGACTGTGACCGAAAGATCGTAGCGTAAAAGTTGCAGTTTATCGTAAAGCTCGAAGTATGCGAGTGCTTCAGCGTCAGCAACTGTATATCCTTTGTGAATAAAATCTTCGGCCATATAACTTTTGAAGCGGTCATATAAATGCCTTGGATTAGACGTTTCACAAAAAGCCAGCATGTAAGTGAATAACGCCCGCAATTCCGCAGGCATCTGAAAGTGAACTGCCTCTTCTAAGCAACTCTCATAGTGGGAATCGTCATGCAACAGTCCCAAAGCGCGCGCTGCATCCAAAAATGTCGAATGCACATTGCCTTCGACTGTGCGGAGATCTTCGAAAGAACGCATATTCTTCCGGTTAAGTAATAAAATGCGTAAACTGAATCTCTCTGGATCAGTGGGTGTGACCATGTACATGCGACCAATTTGGCGACTGCCCCTCTTTCTTCTACTCCACTTTCTTTCTTTACCAAACGTGAAATGTTCTGGCAGCTGATAATAATAGAGCGTTCGAGGATCCAGAAGTCCAGCTACTCCATTTTCGCTTTCCATACGATCATACTCTTCATTCAATTTAAACCATGCTGTTAACATAGAATCTCTAGTTGCCTCACGTACAGCCGCCTCACGTTCTTCACCTGATCGAAACGTGACCGACTGGAAGTCGGGGAGGTGGACAGCCAGACGGTATACAGCAGCAGATTTGTATTGACATTCAAACATAAAAATGTGATGAAGTGCTTCCGGTGAGCACATATATCGTGCATCGAGATGAGCCCGAATCTCGTCAGTTCGTTGCGCTTGACCCTGTTGAAGTAGACGCAAAGATGCTCGATCTGGTCCTTTGTATACATATTTATATAGGTACTTGACTGCATGTATGTAGCCGCAGATTTCCAAATTTATGTGCGCATTGAGGAGGAGAAGGAGGAATCGGTTATAGGGCACAACATGTCTGTTATCATACACCTCGACTCCACTCGTTACGGTGCGGCCATCGTCAGGTCTTTTGTATTTGGGGTAACCATCGACATCGATATCCGTTGTTTCCCGAAACTCCTTAGGATAACGCTTTGAGCACTCCCCATTTACCATGCATGGAGCAGTCAGATTGGTTGCTCCACATCGGCGGTGAATCATATTTCGCGCGACTATGCTCAGAAGATGTGGATCTTCGGAACTGCTGGGAAGATATGCCTGAACAGCTGCATTAACGGCCTCAGGGGTCCTTGGTTTCGCATCTGCTGCCATTATCAGAAGCATATGGCAGTGAGGAAGACCTCGCTTTTGCCACTCTACGATCCCCACATAAGCTGCAACACGTCCCAGAATTTTTTTCTCGAAAAGATACTTCTGCAGCACTTCTAGCTTTTGATGGAATACGCGAGTCACCAAATCGGGTCGGTCTGAAGCGGACTGGCCAGGGTACAGGTTTTCGGCGATTTCCCTCCATTGAGGGTTGCAAGTAAAGGTAAGAAAGTAATCGGGTTTTCCATACCTTGCAACAATAGCCATCGCGTCTTGATAAGATTGATGCATAGCACGAGGGCTCCCACGAAATGAAGAAGGTAAAATTATGCGCTGTCCCGGAGGCCCGTCTACACCATCACTAGCCAGATGATCTGTAAGACCCTTATAACTATCAATTCGAAGTTCTTTTTGATGAGTGCGGGTATAATTCAGCCGATTCTGCTCTATTTTAACGTATGCATCGACTACAAATTGCTGCATAAGTTTTCCACCATGGGGAAGCGGATTGAAAGAATGACGTACAGCTAGCATGTTGGAGTAGTACTCGCGTTGTGATATTCTCGTGCGAATGCGAGTGCTAGGATTCTTTTTCAGATCAACGTGCCACCCTTTTCCTCCTCTAGGGAATAGCAGGGGATAAGTCAACGGATCACAGCAGGCGTCGATGTCCCGAATGATCTGCAGATTACCTCCTTTATGATGAATGGCAAAGGAGCGACTTGCTGGTACATCATCGTCCTCGCCTACATAGACAACGGCAACTTCGTTGGCAATGGGAACATTGTAGCGACGATGATCTACGTCCCGGGCATCATGAAAAACCATTCGGATTGTTGGCACTTGCCTGTTCTCCCTAAGGGCTCGACGCTCTTCCTCTGCAGCTATATCACCCATCATTTTCAATGAAGCCGCATAACTATTGTTCGAATGCAACCATAATGTCAGTTGCTGCATTATGGTGGCAACACATTGTGCATTCAGCGGATTTCCGCTTCTTTCAGCCGCTGCGGCATCAGTGTCTAGTATATACACTTGTCCAAATTGTCGACGAACGCCTGGCTCTGGTGTAATGGGACCCACATAATGATACACTTGTCCGTGAATCCTGTAACAGTATGGCCCAGCACCACGTGGCGTGTCCACTTGAGCCCCCATCGAAGCCATAGCCAGCGCGCTATTAAATGAGCGGATGTGACTGCGAAAATTTTTGCAAAGTTGGCTAGTTCCAAGGTAAAATGACCGGAAGAGCTCGGGAAAATCAGAAAACAAATCCAGAGAAACATTTCCAAAGTTACAGCAAACATTAAAACGTCCATTGACAGATGTACCCTCGCCAGGAAAGTACAGAGCTCCACAGTGAGCGCACCTGACGTTTAGGCGTCCTAGATAGTTTTCTTCTGTGCCATTCATAGTTAGCGCAGTACCAAGATTAGACGGTGTTCTTCGCTGCAAATGCACATTTCCAACTGAACTCATCTGCAAGTTAATGCTCAAATGCCTCGCAAAACAGAGTGGTTATTTATTCGATATACCTGAGCAACCGCTTCTTCTCTCAACTCCTCGTTCTCGTTGTGATGCGAGAGAACTTCATGGTTGTTTAGCTCAAAAAATACGGTTGTCCAAGAAGTATGATTTCAAGATAAAATACCATTTGATCAGATTCGAGCGGATCTTGAATCATTCTGGCCACTGAACTTGCATCTGATCGTCTCTCCACTTCAACCATTCTTCTTGTTCTCGCCCTTTTTGCATCATTCGCAAGGCGCTTTGACCTTTCCTGTTCATTTTCCAGTAATCTTTTCAATCTAGCCCTTTCCACCAATGAGGCGAGGCGATGTTTCCGTTCATCTTCAGTTTCATTGGATCTCCTAGACGCCATTCGTCTCGCATCAATCGCAAGACGTGATTGGTGTTCATGATCAGTCTCTTCAAGTCGACAACCTGATTGGTCAGTATTGCTAAGTAAGTCTGAAGCGGTGAGCTGCTCTGATTCCCCATGGTATTCTTGTGTACCGGAAATCAGAACCTCGGATATGCGAGGTTTTTCATCGTTTGAATTTTCTCTATTCTGTCCATTTGGGTCAGACTAAATCATGATAATGATCAATAAGAAATCTCAACAAATGGCAGGCTGACCATTAGTTGAGTATCAATGGAAGCAACCGCAGTGGTGGCTTCAGAGTAGTGCGAGAGTGGTAACTGTTGGCTGTCCTACATAGAAAACATGCGAATTAGTGAAACCACTGAAAGTGCAATCTTACCAAAGCTTCCGATCCATAAGCACGAGATGTACTTGGAAATTGACTATGTACATAGCCTTCTCCACGGTCGTGCTGTACTGAACTTTCTTGAGAATTCTGCTCGATCTTATCGCTCTTGGTAATTCTAGTTCGTTCTTTTAGCACAGCCGATCGTCCTGCTCTCGCCTTTTCCGCATCTTTCGCGAGACGGACTGACTTCTCCTCTTCAGATTCAACTGATCTTTTGAGCCTAGCCCTCTTAGCTAGAGCTGCAAGTCGTAACCTGCGCTCGTGATCAGTCTCACTGGCTCTTTCAGATGCTGCTCGTTTGGCATGCGCCGCTAGACGTTGTCGGCGTCTGTCAGCATGAGTTTCAGAACTTCGCAGAGCTGCTAAGTCCGTATCATTCTCTTGCTGAACTTTACTCGATGAGTTCGACGCAAGCTAAAGTCATAATTCTAAATGCTTCTATCAAAAAGGAATTTGTTGTTGTAAATTGTTCACCATTTCGTTTTCATCTAAGTAGGCGGCATTCGAAGGAGAGCATTGTTGATTTTCCTCAGGCTCGCCAGATAAGGTCTGGGTATGCGAGGAACTCAATGAATTGTATGTGTTAACGGTGTTTATTGCCAGATCTTGTTCAAAAGCCGGTGTTGCTCCTTCAGTATTTGTGGAATGCGTATCCATCTGTAGCACAACTTGTAGCGAAATAAGCAGTGTACGATAAGCGTTGAGTTACAAAACGTCACCTACTTAAAAGGTGATGTGAATCGGCACATAAGTAGGATTGAAAGCTTGAAGTATTCGCAGTTTACTTGTGAAGAAGAAGTGGTTTCAAATCGCCTCTATATGCTAAGTCCTCTAAGCATTTTCTACGCAGCATCTTTCACAATAAATCCGACTGCATATAGTACATTGATGACCATGCCTTATTGAATATGCAGCCGTCCAGCGAATGTTTCCGCTAAGTCAAAAGCTGGAACCTGCTGCCCCTCATTTCTTAAAAACTGCAGATACTGTTCTTTCCTCTACTGATACTGGAGTACTGATACTGGAGTCAACCAATGTGAACAATTGCATAATTTGGAACCAATCAACATTTGGTTCCAGATTGGTACAATATTCGAGAAGTTTAAAAGTGCATATGTGAATATGGACGCGCATTCGAAGCCTAGGATCCGTTCCAGCGAAATCTGCCTAAAATGAAAAAACTCCACTCCCAATGCTATTGTTTATCGACATATCTCGAAATGGAACCTAGTTATTAGTTGAAGCACACAGATTATTTTATTTAGCTTCTTCTTAAAAAATAGAATCGGCAGAGTGATGTGGATGTCTCAAAACAATTATCGATGAACAGATTAGACTTGCTTAGAATGGAAAATTGCGCTAGAATTCCGTCATTCAGGCGACATAAGCAGCAGCAGCAGCAAGCTTTTCAAACCATCATATTCCTTTCTGGTTGAGTACACAAAAAGGGTTCGAAGAGGAAAATAGCATTTTTTAAATCCCTGTTGAAGGCAATGAAGATGTTTTAAAGTAAGTCCAGGATTGTTTTGCTTTTTGAAAAACAGCTCTTAGGTGATTACGAATACTCTATACCAACGAAAGTGATTTCGAAAGAAACATGTCAAAGTAGAACACAATCTGTTAATTTTTGCGACACATGGCAAGGACCTAGTTCTCGTAGAATCTATGTTATTACTATAAGTTCAAAAGTCCAGCTTTTTGTAAATACAGAGAACAAATCTTTGTAGAAGCATACTTGCAGAAAACACCGAAGATAATTTGATTTAGAACCTAATAATCGATGCAGGTTAACTGTTTGAAACATATGACAGAATTGATTTACACATGGTAGTGCAAAGGCCAAGAAGCATTTTGCAAATGGGAGTTCCAAGAAAGCATAAAATTAAAAGAAAAATAGAGCAAAAGGGGCCAAAAATTCAGCTGAAATAAACGTAGAGACTTTTTTCGATTTGCTTAATTGCATGATTTCGGTTGACGAAGCAAGGATCAAAACATTGACTTTTGCACTCAAAACCTTAGCATACATTCGTTGAATTTGTATGTCATTTTGAAAGCGAAATTGAAACATTAAATGGTGCGCGTTGATGCCAGAGTAAGTGAAAAAACTGTAGCAAATCGGCAGAAGATTCTGACAAATTTGAAATCGTGTATGTCGATGGTTTGGAAGCCTAACTGGAATAATGTAGAGAGAGACTGATCAGTCAACATGTTAGACTGTACTTTTGTACCCAAAACCATGATACCGTCTTGAATTTTCTGGAAGCTCTTAAATGTTTACGCAGTACATGGCCTGGCGAATGCCAAGGATCACTTCTCGATCGCTCTTTGGAGTCAACATCAGTCGTTTGCGCTCAGACACTCGCTGCGGCGGCGGGCGCGCCATAATAGCACTACAGTGCGAGCGGCGCGCCCTATTTAAGGCTGCCGTGCGAGCGGCGCGCCCTATTTAAGGCTGCCGTGCGAGCGGCGCGCTTTAATTGAAGCAGCAGTGCGAGCGGCGCGCCATAGTTGAGGCTGCAGTGCGAGCGGCGCGCCATCATTCGCAGCCAGCGAGCGGCGCGCCTACTCGACACTCGGCGCGGCGGCGCGCGCGCCATTACAGCACTGTATTGCGAACGGCGCGCCCTAGTTGAGAGTGCGAGCGGCGCGCAGTTTATCAGTGAGCCGCGTGCCATGATATTTTCCGCATTCCCACACGCTGTAAGCACAAGCGATACCCGCGTGAAGTACGACGCAGTGTTTTGGGTGCTTTATCGCTAATTCATTGAGGTTATCGCTGTTTCGCAATGGAGTTGTCTCATTAACACAAGTGGGATTCTTCTAGTTCTTCCACTGAGAGTCAGTCCTCATAAGCACTGCGAGTAGGTGCCGAGTTTGAATTCAAATAAAAAATTGGATTCCTGAATTTTTGAAATTGGCAATTGGCGAATGGCAATATTCATACCGTGCGAGCGGCGTGCCATTATCGTGTGGCGCGCGTCCCATATACTCACGGCGCGCGTACCATTTACTCGAGGCGCGCGTTTCAATTACTCGCAACGCGCGCGCCATTTGACGGCCGGCGGCGGGGGATATGAGCGCCCGCGCGCACTTGGCGCGCGCGCCGCCGCAGCGAGTGTCTGAGCGTATATATGGGCTGGCGAATGCCAAAGATCACTTCTTGATCGCTCTTTGGAGTCGACATTAGTTGTTTACGCAGTATATGGCCGTCTAGCGAATGCCAAGGATCATTTTTTGATCGCTCTTTGGGGCGCATATACAGACATGTTTACGTGGACATACAGACGCGCTGACTCACATGGGGGTGCTTGCGCTTTATATAGAGTAGGATAATGGTGCGAATGATTCATTAATAATGATTCATGGGAATCGTTGATGCAGCAGTTAGAAAACAGCGTGTTGTAAGCTTGTTATGCAAAACAAATGTGTGAATTTCTAAATGAAATAATTGCTCATAATGCGGTTTTTTTTCGCATTCTTGACAGGTTCAAAACTGACTTAGCGAAAATCAAGCATAGAAGGCCTATATCGCAATTCGGCCCTCCTGACCGGTGTGCTATAAGCACATGTTTTGATGCCAGAGTGGAGATAACAGATGTTAGCTGTCAATCAATGGTTAACCTCTCATACACACCAATTGCGAGGCTCCAACTTACGCACATGTTCCCATTTCAAACTCCTATTGCTCTCCTTTTGATTGCAGCCATAAAGTTTTGTATAACATAGCGATTGCAAGCATTAATGATTGATTTCACATTTACTTGAAAGTCTCAGTCGCACCTTCAAAATATATGAAAATGAATGGATGAATAAATATGAATTCATGTAAATAATTTGTAGACGTTGATTTTGATGCCGATTTAACAACAACTTTGAAAATACATATAAATTAATATCTTGAATGCATCGAGTCAGCAAAAGTTCGAAAATGAACCAAATTTGACGCAGCTGCTAGTTTTAGCTAATAATTCTGTTTTTGATCAGGACAAACTTTGCCGAAACATCATAGGCCTTTGTCTTGTTTGTTACGAAAAGCAGGGAACGGTCCGACGAATATTCGGAACAATTTTTAGTCTATCTTATCTCCATTCTTATCAGTCCGTACTCACTAAAATCGATAGTGTTATTCAATGTGTAGATGAATATTCAGATTAACCCTTGGATTTTCGCTCTTCGTAAAAAGATGCGAAAAATTACTTGATCAATGCTGAATGTGTCGACGTTACTTTGCCCTCAGAAATCATATTGCAATATATTTAGGAAAACTTTTAGTCTGAAAATGAACTTTTTATGTCGACTTGTAAGTTTACCTTTTTACGTTTAAAAAAGGTGTAAGTATAAGTAGCAAGTTCTCTTTTCTTTGAACTGGGCATCTTGATGTATTAGTTCTTTGTTATGTGCCAGATCCATATTAGTACGGTGCTATCATCTATTGACTTACGTTTCGACAGTCGCTGTCTTCAGAGGTTTGAAGTACACTGCAGTTTTTTTGCGAGACAAAACCGCCGGATGCCATCCCCAAACATCAGTAGTCTGAATCTATTCCCGCGCAAAATTGAGACAGAAAGTGAAGTAGTATTTAGAAACTTACCTATGTTCCGCCGCCGTGTTAGGCCCCGGACAGACTTCACGCGACTTAATCGTCGCGATCTAATCGCCAAGACTTCCATTCATTTTCATTTTACATTCAAAAATTTCGGGCTGGAAAAGTATCACAACCGAATGCAAGTTGATCGGCATGGAATGATGTTGTAACAGTTGTCTTGTCGCGATTCAATCGCGACGATCAAATAGCGTGAAGTCTGCCCGGGGCCTTAGTGAGTTAGACAGTGGCCGCACAAAGTAGACGGACAACACTGAGCTGTTTCAGTAAAATTTTCTTTATATATGTGCAAGCTGTAGCTCATATGTCGACGGAATGTCAAGAGTTCGGTCGCCATCGATAAGCCTTCATTTTTGTTGTTCCTTTGATTTTTGATTTTCTAACGGAAATCAAGCTGCTTCCATGGTTTCCATGCTGTAATCTACATAAATGTATCTAATTATGGTATAAACAGAATTATTTAGTGAACATTTTTGCAGAATTGTTATTTTGCATATAGAGTTTTTACCAATCAAGCTTGGCGTGCGGATAGACTAAAGCCTTTCCAAGAGAACAGCCAAAATTTTTCACAAACCGCAATTTACCCTAAGCTGGAAGCCAAAATAAAGAAAACATTTGATTACTCCAGTACTCGGATCTAGCTAAAGATCTAGCTTATAAAATCTTGTGAGCCTCTCACTTAGTCATCATCTAATAGACCTACAGTAAAATATGTGAAGGGTCCTCGGAAGTTTCTCGAGAATGGGAAAAATAGGCGAAAGACAGGAAAACTTCCTTTTTCGTTTTTTTCTGCGCTAAATGTAACATTTCAGAAGACTAGGAGCACATACTATGTAAGATTACCCGGTGTACTGCGAAAGCTGTAAGTATAAACGCAACTAGCGCTGTGTTTGCCAATTTTCGGTCCTTATTTCTCAATTTGTAAACGTACAAAATATTGGGTTCTTACATAAGTCTTGTCACCCTCTGAATTCTCAAGACGATAAGTCGTGAACTGCATAATTTTAATAGGGCTCCAGGGCATCATTCGATAGAGCAAAGCAAGCTCTACAAGATAGTGTGCAAAAATTCGCACCAGCTCCGACCCACCGTAAGTTTGCATCCAAAAACTGAGTCACACTGAAGTCAAAAAATTGCGAAAAAATCATATCTTTGTTCAAAAAAATCCTACGAATCTCCAATTTGCTCATAAAAATTGCACACTATATCAGACACTCACATGTACCGTTACTGTATTTCTTCCTCATCTAGAAATCGAAAAAATGAAAGTTTTCTTGTTTTCACAAAAACGGTGCTATGCTGTTTCTCATGTAGCTGAATACTACAAGCCCTTAGAATTATAACAGTAAACTTTCAGCTTTCCAGAAACCCTAGTTTTCGAAAACCTAAAAGCACTGAACATCCAAGTGTAAAAAGCTAAATTTAAAATTTTTCGAAAACTAAAGCTTCTGAAAAGCTGAAAATTTACGGTTCTACTTCTGAGGGCTTGCAGTATTCAGCTACATGAATAGAAACAGCATATCTCCGTTGTTGTAAAAACAAGAAAATTCTCATTTTCTCGATTTCTAGATGAGGAAAAAATACAGCAACGGTACATATGACTGTCTGATATATGTGCGATTTTTATGAGCAAGTTGGAGATTCTTAGAAATTTTTGAACCAAGATATGAACTTTTTGCGATTTTTCGAGCTTTCAGTACGACTCAGATTTTGGATGCAAACTTATGATGGATCGAAATCGGTGCAAGCTTTTGCATTATATCTTGAAGAGCTTGCTTTCCTCTATCGAATGGTACCCTGTAGCCCCATTATGGAGTTCATGATTTATCGTCGTAAGAAGTCAAAGTGTAACAAGACTTATGTAACAACCAACCTAATACAACGAAGGCGAAAATATAGTGAATGTTTGTGTATATATTGCACACTGACCAGCTAGAAGGTTTTCATTATTTTGATAAACGAAATTCCAATAAGCACACAACTTTTTAGACCATGGCTTCAGACTCATTGCGAATTACGATTTGAGCAAATATCGATAGTAATTTTGTAAAATATGCATTACTCTATCAAAAAGTACCTTCATGTGATTTCTACATTCAAACTCTCGCTGTAGCATTAGAAATGCTCTCAGCTGTTACACCAATCTAAAGTCTAATAAGCGAAAATAAATTTCGTTCATTTTCAGATATGAGGTCTGTTATGTTATTTATGCTTGTGTTGTATGCGCTAACAGCTCTCAGTGATGCTTTTCGAACGCAAAGTGTAGCAGTGAAGGGAAAGTTGATGTGTGGTGACCAACCAGCAGCAAACGTCCATGTAAAATTATATGATGAAGATCACGGTATGCATCGTTGTTTATCCAAATAATCAATTTATAGATTCGAACAATCAATAATTATTCTTGTAGGTGATCCTGATGATGTGTTGGATAATACGTATACTAAAGCTGATGGATTATTCAGTTTGAGCGGTTTCGCTTCCGAAATCACGCCAATCGATCCAGAATTACGAATATATCACGACTGCAATGATAATGGGAGGGTGAGTCAGATTCGCAATTAATAAGAACCTTTTTCTCTGTTTTGTATCTCTGTTATTTTTAACTGTAGTCAGCTGACTCAGAAAGTTACAAAAAAAAGGAAATAAAAAGGGTTCCAGTTACACGTCTCTCAGATATTTTTAGCACAAATTACAAGGAGTTTGTTTGGGTCTTTTATGCCGCTTTCTAGAAAGTAAAAGTAATTTTGAAAACAAGTTCATCTAAAAAAACTGCACACAATCTAAAACTTTATTCTATTTCCTTGTTAAGTTTGAAATCAATGAGGTTCCGAAAAATGATGCACTTTTCTGAGCTGACGCGGCAGTCAAAAGAGGAAGTAGTCTACAAGATGGCCAAACAATCGCAAAACATTCGATACAGATGAAGTTTTGAAAAATCAAAAGGAATTCAAATTCCGGGAATCTCAGTCCAAAAAAAGCTTACACACCTCCAACTTGGACCAAATACTGTCTATATCAGACATTCGTATATGTAGCTGCTGTATTTTTCCGCGGTTGGGATTTGAAAAATAAAAAGGCATGCCCTGAAAAATGCAGTGCTGGGCCTTTCTCATATAGGTAAATCTATACAAGGAAACCTTTGGAAGGAAATGGTAGGTTTTCAGTGTTCTGCAAGCGCTAGTTTCTGAGAAATAAGAATTTTGCATAAAAACATGGAATGCAAGATTTCCGTATTTTTGGCTTGCTATGATCTTCAATTTCCCGCCGTGAAGGATTTTAGTAATGCGCATATAAACTTAATTTAGGAATTGAACATGCGATCGAGCTGGCTGAGCAGACTTATTATTAAACTAGCTGGCTTACCCGGCTCCGCCGTATGTTCCGAACAGAAAATTCCATTTCTTAACCGATCCGGACCAAACTTGGCACACATACACTTCGGGCCCCGGCGGGTGCCACAGTCCACTTTTCGTTATCGATCGATGTCGATTTTATCGATTTTTTGCAAAATTTGAGCCAGGGGGCTGGAATTTGGCAGGGGGGTGTAATCGAGCATGCTGATCACCCCCACGGGGGTGATCAGCATGCTCGATTACCCCTCTGTGCCTCCCAGCCCTGTAGCTCAAATTTTGCAAAAAATCGATAAAATCAATATCGATCGATGACGAAAAGTAGCCTATGACACCCGCCGGGGCCCAAAGTGTATGTGTGCCAAGTTTGGTCCCGATCGGTTCAGAAATGGAATTTTCTATTCGGAACATACGTACAGACAGACAGACATACAGACAGACAGACATACAGACAAACAGACATTCAGCTTTATATATAAGATAACTTAATTTTTCTAGCTCTTTATTTCAAACTTCATGTTTAGCAGATTTTGTGCGAATGTTAAACGTATTCTTATAGAGCTTGCTTTGCTCTGTCAATATGTTTTCCACTTTTTTATATCTATTCTGCCGCTATCGCATAAAGGACGAGAGCTGATTTCCGAGAATGAAAGATTATATGAAGAATCAACTTTCGCATAGAGATTTTCGGAAAGTTTCAAAATAAATTTCCTTTCTATTGCAGCCTTGTCATAGAGAATGGGTCATTCGGATTCCAAGCAAATACATTTACTTGGGTTCAGAGCCCTCAGAGCCTATGGATTTGGGAACAATGAATCTAGAAGTAAGTTCATATTCATTAAAAAATTATCACTATTCTTCACTTTTGCATCAGCTTTATTACCTCGATTATTGGAAAGATGATTGTTAAAGTACTTTTCTACTTCTCTATATTTATCTCGCTTAAAATCCCAGAAAATTTTAAGCTATTGCTTTACGAAGCGTTCAAATCGAATATTTTAGGTTGAGCTAGAAAGCGAACTTCAGGAATGTAAAGAAGAATGAAGTGGTTTTATAAATGTGATTTGTAAACTTGTATAAAATAAATTCTTGCACACTGTTAATTATGCTTTTTATGGATTACCGACTACTTGTCCGAGTCTGTGCGTTTTTTCAAAATCATTTTTTCTGTTCAAGAGATTATGAGAAGTTGTTATCGATACATCCTTCTAATCACGTTCTTCGTTTTTGCGTTCTGCAATCCACAACAAACAGGAAGGCAGAATTACAGGGTTAGTTTAGCTTCAAAAAATCTTTAATTTAAAAGTTTCAAGTTTAGGTGCGAGGCACTTTGATGTGTGGAAAAGTGCCAGCCAAGGATGTGAAAGTGAAATTGATTGACGACGATTTTGGTAAATATATAATTTTAAAGCACATTTTCTAATCCAGCTAGAGATCGGCGGATTCCCTCGTTAGTTCATATCTTGAACGAATCAATGTTTTGTGTTTTCTGCTTTTTATTACTTAGTAATAACCGTGTTTGAAGATGATCAATTATTACGCAGTTCTTACCTTGGAGATTCACTTACCATTAGTGGAAAACTAAGTGACACACATAAAAAAAGAAACGTACTTAAACGTGCTTCGTTGATTGATACTACAGCTTCAAGAACCTCTTTTCAGGACCTGATCCTGATGACGAGCTGGATAGCGGCTACACGGATGCAAATGGTTTCTTTGAATTAGCTGGATTCACCACAGAACGTACCACGATTGATCCACATTTGAAGTTCTACCATGACTGTAACGATGGAATTACGGTAGGTACAGTTTACCGTAATATATACATCTATTAGAGCGTGTTCTTTCTAGCCATGTCAACGACGGTGGAAATTCGAGCTGCCAAATCATTACATCACCAGAGGTAGAAGTTGTTTTATGTGGAAAACGTGTTTAATGTACACTATGCTCTCCATCTGAAGAGTTGAGACAGCCTTTATAGCAGCTGAGTGTGACTGCAGAGTCCAAATCTCTGCCTGAGATCAATACTTATCATTACTTTGCACTGATCTCACATACAGAGTGTCCGTAAAGTATGTATACACTGTTTGATCGTTAATATCTCGTTTCCCAAGAAGTTTTTTGCCTTGCTTCAGATACCATTTTGTAGAGCCGGCTTCAGCTTAGATTTGCAGTATAGAACGAATCACCCATCTCTCTTTATTACTGTCGGATTACAGTAGAAACTTGAAACATATGGTGTCAATGTGGAAAAAGCTGCCGTTTCAAAATTTTTCAAAAAAATGTAAAAACTTGTGTAATAGGGTTTTTATGGACGCTGAGTTCAATACTCAACTATTCACAAGATTGCGAAGCTTTCTAAACGGTGCAACCGCACTTTTTAGGAACATTGAAAAAATGGCCGCTACCTCTTACCTGGCATAACTCTTCAATGAAGCATCACAATTAGTTGGGAACTTCACAGTTAGAATCAGCAACTCGAATTAGCCTAGTGTAGAAGTTTTCAGTCTGTTTTGTCTCCTTTCTGAGGCAAAATATGGCCTTTCATAGCCCAAAACCCTCTTTCAAATTTCTACCGTAATCCTACAGTAAAGGAGAAAGATGGACTATTCACTCTATACTGTAAATCTAAGTTGAAGCCAGTTCTACAAAATGGTACCTTAAGCAAGGCAAAAGACTTCTTGGGAAAAGAGATATTAACGATCAAACAGTGTATACATACTTTACGGACACCCTGTATGAATTGGTTCTATGACATTGATTAGACAATATCGCAAAAATCTTTATCAAGTGAGGGTTCATAAGTTTGAAAAACTTCTTTATTTTGAAAGTTACGAGAGTTTTGGAAGACAAGGAACTGTTGGTGCTATGCGAAAGTGCTAGCCGTAAACATGTATAGCAATACAACAATGAAAATCGGCGTCATTCTTGAAAAATAAAGTTTGCTCGAATGTGAATTTTGACCGGTTCATGATCGTACGAACACTTGAAGCCATCTCCTTTTTCAACCAAAACTACATTTTTTGCACTCGAAAATTTTTGAAATCTACAGTCACAAAGTTTGAGACATCAGCAACATGCTGAATCTAGTGCTGTAAAATAAGGCATTTACCCATGGATGATTCAAAATGCTTTTGGACTTAGTGCGCTCCACAAACGTCCGTTTTTCTAAGGTCCAGGACTCTATCGGATTGCACTGCATTTGGCGTGCATTAGGCTTTTGATAGGTTTTTTGTTTAAAGCATGGAAAAGCCCTGTATGACGTTGCGATTTCCAAGCAAGTTACAATTTTATCTCTTTTCTTTTAATTTTTTTTCAGTTTTCCAAGCAAACAATTTTAAGTTAGCACGGTTGAATCCAAAAACTCAGCTTCTGTCTTGCGCAAAAATGCGACAAAGCACCTGCATCTCTTTCAAGATGATGTATTCGTGCTGATTTTATCTGCGGGGCTAATTGGTTTGAGGCTTTGGAGATGAAATCAAGTAGAGGTGTGATTTCAATATTCAAAAGAGTGATTTTGGAAGGACGGCGCCTGCATGACCAAAACAAGAATTTAATGTTGCTGTTCTTTTTCTACAAAAAGACAGCCTTACGAACTGCTACGTTCTATGGGTTTACTTCATCGGAAGCTGAGTTTTGAGGAACTTGTGCTCTTTTCGGGGTAAAATCAAAAGTTGGCTGAAAATCGCGAAAGTAACCAAGTTCCAAGCGAACAAAATACCTACCGAAGCTTAGCGTACATGGAGAAAAAGTTGATTAGAGTCCTAGATACCTGAAAAAACGGACGTTCTTTAGTAAGTTCACAAAAAAATTCTATTTGATGGATTTCAGCTTTAAGTGAAAAAGTGAGATCTACTAAGGTATTCGTATGATCATGGAGAGCTGCCGTATTGGGCGCGCAATTCGCTTCCGAGACTTTGCGTATACCATTTTTGGCTATGCATTTTCAGGTACAACTGAGTTTTTGAGTTTTTCAAAGAGTCTCAAAACTCTAAAAATAAGATGTTCGTATAACTACGACCAGACTTCAATGAAATGCAACAATTTAGGCAACGAACCATCGAAAGTGCTCGATATAGGCAAATGGAATCTCGAAGCTTTACTGCCTGGGGAAAGTCATGATTGTCAACATTGATTGCATGGTATCTTGTAAATTGTGGTTGGCGCATTTATTAGTAAATTGTACAAAATCAAGATGGAGATTCTGCTATGTTTTTCAGCATTATGTGTATGGATTCCTCACATTATTTAGTTCAGTTCGAATGTTTAACTGCTAAAAGGGATGGAGGATTTTTTCATTGATGAATTCTCCAAATAAATTATCTACGAGTCTCGCATGGAATCGTAAAAATCAAGTCTCATTTGTCAGTCTACAATGTGAACACACAAGTACACAGATATTCAAGCAATCGCCATCTACATAGTTTAAGCAAAACGCGATAATGCTAGCCTCCCTTGAATAACAATGTACTAAAAAGAGTTTGATCCTTAATTTTTGAGCTGGAAACTGAGTTTCGCAACTTCTTTCATAGATTTTCTCTCTTTGTTATAGAACGCAGCGCGTGCTACAACCGCGCACAACTGTTTAGATTTTAACGCGAACTGAAAAAATCCCAATTATTTCCGAAAACTTGTGAATTTTGAAATTTAGGGTTTAAATAAAAATGAAGCTATAAGCAGCATAGACCATGCAGAATGATTCGGAATCGTGTATGAGTTATTGCTAAAGGTCGAACTTATTCGACTTAGCAAGAAAAATTAAAGTTTAATAGCATGCCGAGTTTCGGCGCAATCACAAAGTCTAATGAGTCCGCTGTACGCAAGGCTTTTGGGCCAACCGTCAATGACCAAGGAGTCAAAACCTCAAAAGTCGTAGAGACTTTACGAGGTAAGCTTATTAGATCCGACAAAGACGAATATCATATTCACTCGTTAATTTATGGCCCCTCCTTGTTTAGGGTAAGACCCTAAATCGTAAGCCTACAATAATCTTACAAAAAAGCCCTTATCGCGCAACTTCAATATCGTTTACGTGATCAGCACGTCGGATATCCCCCACTAGCCAAGTTTCAGTCGAATCAGTAAAAAACAATTTTATACTTTTCTCATACCATACAGCTACCGTAACCCTCACTGCAACGACAGAATTTGGCAAAACAGCAGCTGCTCTCGTAGCTTATGTTATAACCCACATCCTTAATGCGTATTTGAGTGCGCCATGTTGAAAAGAGGGAAGTTATCAAATGAGTTGCCGAACTTGGTTTCAACCTCAATTCTAATTTTCTGCAACAAAATTCAACAAATTTTAATCTTTGTTCCATACTCCACCAAGACTGGGAAGAATTTACAATCTGCTGAAACTTCTCGTTAAAGGCAGCGTCCAGGCAGATTTGAACCTATGGGGCTTTTACGTGGAAAGTACTTTTGGGGCATTAACTAAGGCACTGCCCAAGCGGCAGCTCAGGTAGTGCTGTAATGGCTGAGATATTCCCCTCGAAACTGGACCCCGCGACCGTGTTTCGCATGCATTCATGGCGCAAAGCGTGGATCCTGGCGCGAAACTGCCATGAATCCATGCGAATACGTTCGCGGGGGCCAGTTTCGAGGGGAACATCTCAGCCATTAGAGCACTACCTGAGCTGCCGCTTGGGCAGTGCCTTAGTTAGGGCCCCTAAAGTGCTTTCCACGTAAGAGCCCCATAGGTTCGGATCTGCCTGGACGCTGCCTTTAAGGAAAAAGGACATGAAGATAGGGTTTGATCTAGGGTTCTTGTGGAGCCATCGCCTGAAACATAGCTCTAAAGTGAAAAGTACGTTACGATTTCATCCAAGTTTGGCTTGATTCAAGGCCCACTTGCTATTTCTCCTTTAGTGCTAGGTGCGCATGCCCTCATATCATAATCATAAAATTCCTATAAAGACTCTGCGTTTTCGGACGAGGAGAGTTTGGTTCATTTTCATGTGATCGAGAATTTCTCAGACCGTTTGGCTAGAATTAATTGAGGTAAAAAGGTAATTCTAACAATTTTCGGGATAATTAGAGTAATAACAAAAATTTACTCTGTTGAGAAAGGAATATAAAGAGCACTAATTTATCATTGTTCTTAGCGTTGCGGAGATACGAATGAAACATAAAAGGTTTTCACTACTTTTTGACTCACCCTGACAATCCACACTCAAAGCATTGTCTGCAGTAGACTAGCCGAGGTGAAGCTCTATATTACAAGGTTCAAAGTTCATCTTACATGTATGCAAAGTGCTAGTGTGTAAACAATTAATAATTGATGTCGCATAGAGATTAATGTGCAAGTAATGAATGTGCCACAAAAGTGGTCAATGGCGTCACACGTGTTAAGGGAAAAGCAAATGGAACTTAAGAAGTGAACAGCCTCCAATTGATTGATCTATCAAAAATAAGTTTATCGTACTTCATTTGATCATATGGACAACACCCAGCATAATTGACGAGCATCAGTGTCAGCCGTTAGGGCTGTAGGAGTTCTTCCCTTATCCCTTCCAATCGAGGTAAGGATGGCGACACAAGCCGCGTGATTGCAGAAAATTGGAGCTATATGGAAGAAACAAGCCTGAGGCGTACAAATTCATTCTGCCATTAAAACAGGCGAAGAAGAACATCTATGTCATCAAATGTCGTTTTTTTGATGACCTGCCTGATCCTTTGCACAACGATCTTTACAGAAAAGTTTGTTCCGACATTGAGTTTCATATGCGAAAGTTTTTGTCTAATCGTGAGCGTCGGCTTGCACAGAAATCAGCGCGAAGCCTGTTCCTTTACATCAGAGCTAAGATGAAGCCAAATTCTAACCTCCCCACCCTCGAAAATGACCTTGGTGCTTGATTTTTCGCGATGAAGAGAAGGCGAAAGTTTCTGGAGCCTATTTTGCTAGCGTCTTCAGTTCTACGAACAGTAGTTCACCTGCTGTTCGCAATATTCATGATGTGCGAGGGAACTTGTCCTCAATCTTCTTTGAATCGCATGAAGTCTGCCGAATTTTAAAGCACCTCAAAAACTCCGCTACTGAAACATATGACGGCATACCTCAGATTGTATACAAGAAGTGTTCCTCATCTCTGGCCACACCATTAGCACATATTTTCAACATATCCATGTTATTAGGAGAGGTACCCGCACTTTGGAAGCACGCCCTTGTAACACCTATCCCTAAGGTCCAGGGCGCTGGGCGGGTGAGGGATTTTCGCCCTATTAGTCTGCTACCTACACCTGCAAAAGTCATGGAAAAGTGTATAAGAGATAAGCTTGTGTCCTGGCTTGATAAAGCTGGCATGGTCCCTGTTGAGCAGCATGGTTTCATCAATGGTGCCTCGACGACAACAAATTTTTGACAGTATTTATGACTGGACTCTTGCCTTAAATAGTAAAAAATGTGTGGATGTGCTTTATATTGATTTATCTAAAGCATTTGATAGGGTCTGTCATGATATGCTAGTGAAGAAACTCAAATTGATAGGCGTTGATGACCCGCTGCTCGCATGGTTTGATTCGTATCTGCACAACCGCTATATGACTGTTAGAGTTCATGACCGATTTTCGGATACTTATTCTTGTGCAAGTGGTGTTCCTCAAGGAGGAGTTTTATCGCCTATATTATTCCTCATTTATACTATGGAGTTGCCTAACTTACTCCATACTTCTCAAAAGGTTTGCAAATGTATGCAGATGATATAAAGATATACGGAATGTACGATGCAGAAGATCGAATTGAGGTTCAGTCAGCTTTACAATTGTCTCTTTCCAATCTGGTTGAATGGGCAACGACTTGGAATTTGACACTCAATCTTGACAAGAGTTGCGTACTGCATATAGGAAACGGTTGTGCAGGTACTTATGTGGTTGAGGATCTTGCGTTGAGGTCATGCGGCTCAGCCAGGGACTTGGGAGTGCTTGTTGATGCTGAACTAAAGTTTTCTGAACATATCGATGCTGCTGTCAGAAAGGCTTACACCTCCCTATTCGTGCTGCTGCGCACCTTAAGGAGTAACTCGCCTGCACTAGTGACGCGTCTCTACAAAGCCCTCATTCGCCCCCATCTAAAATATTGCTCCCAAGTTTGGAATCCTGCCCGGAAAAAAGATATTTGTAAAATAGAAAAAGTGCAAAAAACACTCACGCGTCTCTTGTACAGGCGACTCTATTCTGATGACAGTATACCAGATTATAATGTACGGCTTAGAATGTTCAAATTACATAGTCTTTCTTTTCGTCGCAATCTCTCAGATTTAGCGTTTTGTTTTCAAGTTTTAAAGGGTTAAAATCGGTTGAAGGCAAGTAAATATAGGATATTCATGCCAGCTAGTGAAAGGTCGGGAGGATTTAATTTGCACTACGCCAAAGTCAAAAAGCACAATCTTGCAAAAATGCACAGTAACATATTCTGCAGGTCTGCTAGATGGTTTCAGCGGTTGCCTATGGATGTTATGTGTTCTCAGACTGCACGCTCCTTCAGGGCTAAGTTGATGAGAGCTGACACACAACCATCCCTAAGCTTTTTAGAATGATTTTAATTTTGTCGTTTTTCAGTTACCAGTTCTTTCTCTTCTTGGCTTTATGGCTGTTGGTATTACTAGCATGTCGGTTTTCGGTCCGCACGGTCATTTTCCGGAGCCGAGTCCTGGTGTTCTTCAGTTGCAGCTTGATTCTGTAGCCTGGTTTTATTTATTGATTGTTACTAACCTTAAGCGTCATTAACTAACAACTGAACCAGCCCGGCTCATTCGTCAGAAGTTTTATCACACCTTACTGCCTTAACGAAGCCTAGTTTCCCATCTAGGGCACTCTTGTGTCCGCCTAATGAAGTGCCTTCTGGAGTAGTTGGTAGATGTTTACTCTGCCACTCCTAATCTGAATCTTGCTTCCTCTAAAATTTAATCTTCAATGGGTTCAGGTCAGCTAGCCTTACCGGCGGGCTCGTTGACACCCAAAAACGGGCATCTTTAATTTTAGAGTGTGCAAGATTCATGTGATTGTTTTTTATCAAGTTACTTTCGTTCATCTTTACAAGCTGGGTCTAGAGCTTCGAGTTCTGTTTCATTCTGTATTTTCATTTATCTTCTCTTGCGGCTGAGGACTGGCTGGTCTCATTGTTTGTTTGGATCTTCTTTTATTTCTTTGCTCTGGTGCACCTCGAGTGTATTTATAAAATAAAATAAAAAATCTACAACCGCCCACAAAAGTTCTGTAAGGGCGACATACACTAATACTGAAGAGGAGAACTCAAAAGAAAACTTCATGTTCTGAAGCTCGTACATCTAATTCCCTTTGTCTACCCATCCGCAAATGCCTCTTACCCTTATGTAAACATTTTGTATAGAAGCAAGAATTTGTACAAGCCTCAATCTCTTTTGTATCCCTTGAGGATCCCTGCGGCTGACCGACTTATCTTCAAAGTCAATTTTTCCACTTAATAGAGATATTTTGAAGTTGTAATAATTATATAACTCTAAGTATATTTCTGATAAGAACAAATGATGTATAGTCATGAAATTTGCGATGAACCACAAATTGAATCTGAAGTTTACCAAACATCAGATTACGCTACAACTGAAATGCTCGAGTCTCTGACAGTGAAAATGTGTTTTTTGTGTACGAAACCTCAAGGACCGAAGCAAGTGGTAGTCGCATGTTGCTATAGCTTGGGTGTAGGGGGGGGGGCGCTCGTTACTTGCAGGCGCAATCAGAAATCGTCGCGACGCGGCGTTGCAGTGTCTACGCGGGAAGCAGTAGGGCAGGAAACTTGTAGTGATGCTTTCTCTTGTATCGTTAGTCTTGTATTTTCTTCCCTGTCCTTCCCCTTTTATATTGAAACTACTTCCCCGAAGCAACGACTACTTTTTTCGACAGCAATCGCAAAATCCCTAAGGAACTGCTTAGGGGTCGTCTCGTCAAAGTGAATCGCCTTCACTCTTTCATATCATATGATCAAAACAAGTTCTTAGAAGTGTGATGCAGTGCTGTCTAATCGCGTCAGGTATACTTCTAGTTCACTAAAGGATTACTCTGATTTATATATCGAACTCGAATAGGGCGTTAACTGGTATGGAAATAGTCTGAACAATTTACAGGGTTCTCCGTTCGCTTATTGTCACCGTCGCTCGCGACGCCTGGTAATTGACTCCCACAAGTAACGATACGCACCCGGATGTATCACAATGGCCCGTAGTAACCCTCTTTCAGCGCAGCTCGGTTGGGGCAGGCCTAAGTCGAACGTAGTACGCCTCAGTCCACTACCCAGTGAGCTATTAATCAGAATGCGCACCTTCTAGAAGTAAAGAACTTGTGCATTCATAAATGGGGAACACTTGAGCAGGACTGGTCGGAGGGCTAGTTATTAAGAAACAGTGGGAGATACCATAGTTCGAGGCCGATTAGTGGCGAATTTTGCGGCATCGCCGTGCAATCTTTGATAACGGCCGCTATTGAAAAAAATTGGTGATGGTCGCTATCAAGGACTGTCACCTAGCAGATGAATGGTTAAGGCAAAACTACGATATTTTGGCAAAGATTTCGCGGAAATTAAAATGGTTAGAGCATAAAAAATAAGGAAATGAAATCTTGTATTTTGCAGCTTTAAAAAAAACTTGAGCGAACTGCAAAAAGAAGAAAATTTGTTTCCTTTTTTCTTCCTCTCCTAATCAGCTGTTCATCGGCCCTCGCCTACTTGGACCCCAAAGTGCAGTTTTGTGAGCTCTGCACCGCAACGATACGTCAGCTAAGTTCTCCCGTAAGTTATTTAGAACAACTTGCGGAAATTTTGTCTGAATTTCTTTTTTTGCACATTATAGCCCTCGGTTTACTAAGGATCTACCTTCACCGTCAAGGCATTCTGCTGAACTGACAGTGACACTTGACCAGAAAGGTCTTCTTATTTTTCAACTGACCATTTTGAAGCAGGGGAAGGTGGGCGGTCTTAGGTACAATCCAGGAAGTTCTTCTGAATGGCTTATCTCAGGTCAGTTGGAAAGGGGTTTACTAGTCTCAACCAAACTTGAAAGTCGTAGGATTTAACGTACGAAAAATATGCATTGCTGTGTTCTCTAAAGTTTTAAATTACTGGTTACTATATGAAAAACACAGTGTTTGAATCGACATTTTGCTAGATTGCGCCAAATCATCAGTGTATATCGCTGTTGGTACGCTATCATATTAGCTTCTCATGAACATGCTGGTTTATACTGATGATTTTTCCTAAGCTTTTCATTGAAATTCCAATTTCAAAGAGTAATTGTATTAGAACCTATTATCCCATTGAAAATTGTGTTTGACGATTCATAGTCGTAACAAACTAATTTGCAAAGGTATTGTATGAGACTATGCATCTGCTGGTGAAAACTTCAGAATAATAGGAGAAAAACCTATATAAACAGTAGCAAAAGCAGCGACTTGCTTGATTCGTTCACTGCCTTCTCATGCTGCCCGTTATTGTATATCTCTCATTCTTCCACATAGCAATAGTGAGTCATACGTTGTTATTGTTTTCAAGACAACATTTTCGTAAAGTTACTGTGATTTAAAACCACCATTACAGCATATCAGCATTAATCCTTATTCAAACGCTGAACAGTACCGCAGCAAATTCGCAAACCATCGATGAAACTAAAATGCTTGATTTGAATTGTAGTTGTTGTCTAGTTAAAATTCTCACGATTTTATCGAAAGCCTCTCAGATATCGTCACCATAACGTCATCTACTCAAAAACAAAGGAGTGTCATTCAATCTTTTTTGCACAGAATTGCAATATTCGAATCCTTTGCAGTAGAGTAGACACCTATGCTTGCATCAGGGCCCGGCACGAGGTGGGCAAACGGGGTTTTCCAAAACGAATTCCCCTTTGATCCCAATAAATTTTACGAATACCCCCTTGAGCCCAAAAATGGCGTTTCGTGCTTGTGCGACGAGATTACCGGCCACACTTCGCCTAAAAGCGCTCAAAAGCGCCCAAATTGCTCAAATTCCTCAAATTATTCCTCAGCTGTATCAAAATAGAAAACAGGAAGGAAAATAAGCAAGAAAAATGATTAAGGAATGAGAAAATATCAAAGAAACGCAGTCATAGGAATGAGAGACGCCGTTCAGGCGCGTATCGATTGACTGGGGCGCGCTTTCTTTCTTAGAAAGCTAGGCTGCTGATGCGATTTTGGGCTCTAACAAGGACAAGAGGAGGAGTTTCGGAACCAAAATTTCACCATGTAGTAAACTTTAGGTGTACAACAGATTTATGTAAAAATTTTGAAAAAATTATGTGAACTGAGAGTTTTGCCGACCTCAGGTGGGAATTAGGTCGGCAAATGCTGACCTAATTTGGAAATTAGTTAAGGAAACTTTTCGTTCACATAAGTTTTTCATAATATTTCATACTTAGTTACCTAGTCCTACTGCGCATACACACACCGAATCCCGCGCGATTTCGTTACCTGTGCGTTGTAAACGAGCCATTTTTCCATTTCTTTGGTAGCGCAAAATTTTCATAAAAAAGTTTGCCACAACCTTCAGTAACATAATTTTTCAATGAAACTCCTCAGTTAAGCCCTGCAAGTCCGTGTGCATGTACTTACCAAGTTTCATGCCATATCGTTCATCTGCGCGTTCCAAACGAGCCGTTTGAATTCGCATCTTCATTTACCAGTTTTGCGAAATTCTCGGAAAAAATGCTAATTACTCGTTCCGTTCACATAAGTTTTTCATAAATTTTCATACTATGTTTCCACTAGCCTCTCTCCGTTCGCATACAAAATTTGGTGCCATATCGTTACACATACATTGAGAACTAGTCATGCATGCTGTTACAAATAGCATCGCTTGGGCGACGTCGCGCGTGCGGCAGTTAGCGACGGCGCGGTTTGACGCGCGCGAACTCCAGTGTTCGCCTGTTGAGGCACATAACATGTCAAGATAATTAGCGAGCATGAACTACCAATTTTTTCCGGGGCTCCGCCCCGGACCCCGCAAAAACGATTTCCCCTTTACTTTTTGGCCCCAAAACGATTTCCAGCTTGTCATTTGCCGACCTCGTGCCGGGCCCTGGCTTGCATCTGTGTTTCTAAGGCATCGTTCACGCAGCTTTTCGAAGTACCTCGTGTTTTAAAACAACACGGAGTCTCCGAGTCACAGATTGATGCAAAACTTTGTCGTTCTTATCTGCAGGGCTCAGCTTTTCGAAGTTTCTAATGTTTTCAAACAATACGGGAGTCTCTAAGTCACAGACTGAAAAACTTTGTCGCTCTTATCTGCAAGGCCCAGCTCTGTTGTTGAAGTTTAAGGGTGCCGCCGCGAATGGGCTGTACAGGAGCGGAACGGATACCGACTTCCAACGCCACCGCCTTGGAATTTTCTGGCACAATTCCCTTTCCAAAAATTCTATATTCGTTTAAACAACTCCCAAGTTAGGTGCATCACTACTGTGTCCCATCAAATCACCCTCTCATTTAGTGCGGACGATATCTTCAGATGTTTAGACTATCGACCTATAAATCTCCCATTAAGAAACACTTTTGATTAGTAATGAGGATGTCTATGTCAGAACCTTCTTATTTTTTAATCCATAATACATTTGACGCCTTTTTGAAATAAATTCTGGTTGGTAAGACTGCTTTTAAACTTTGATGGTATTGGACTCAGGGATGTAGTCCTGATGGTGTCTATCCTGGAATCGGTATGCCCGGTATTGGGGTTTCTGGCGTTGGAATTCCCGGTGTTGGATATCCCGGTTACGGAATTCCTGGTGCAGGGATGCCTGGTGCCTATGGTGCAAGCGGACCAGCAATGATTTCTTTGTTCACTGATATACAGTACAATGAATCACCGAGCACTCGTGAGCATATAAACAATATAAGAAACCAGGTAAAGCATTTAGAAGATTACCACCCACTTTTGAAAATGCCACAATTTTCCAGATTGCTGGAGTGCTGAGGGGTTACGCGGCTCCGTATGGTGGTGGTAGCTTCGTAATTACTCCTCGAAATTCAAATGGTAGACTAGCTGTTGATGTATCAGTACCATTTGTATACTGCAATATGGTAAGAGAATTCGCTTGCAGATTAGTCTGCAGTGAAACTGTTAAAATCTAGCTGCCAATGGTTCTTCCCCAAGTCAAGAGCCGATACACACAAGTAAGAACAATTGGCTATCGATGTAATGGAGGATCCATACAATACATTTGATACAGCAGCTGATGCTGCGGAGGAATGCATTTGTTGTGCCAAAATTATAATAAAAATTTTTTACAGTCTAGTGATCTCCTTATGCAATCTAAATTAGCTAAGACTACTGTAAGTCAATAGGGAACGAGTGGCGTAGTGGTATGAGGCGCCGCTATGACCAGATCGGACACAGGCTCGACCCCCGCCCCTGGGCCAACCAAGCCCTCTGCCCTCCGGGGCTGGTAAATTGGTACCAGAGTAATCTGGGAGGATAAAAGCACTGACTTGGAAACGGCTGGCCCCCGCAAGTCACTGTAATAGGCTCGCACGCATACAATTGCCTCTTCGACTATGAAGTTAGTGTGTGCGTTCGGCGCATGCCCTCAGAGGGTATTGAAGACGCCGAATCCTTTATCCTTTATCCTTTACAGTAAGTCAATTGACTTACAAGGGAAGGAAGGTTGGTCGAAGTGGCTTTTTGAAATGTGGTGTATACTGCCTTGTAGACTTGGAACGCTGATTCCAAATCTACCTTTGCTATCTGCTGCGGGCTTCTGGGCAAGGAGTTATGAAGGTTTTTGTGAGTAAAAATCTGAATGCAAAAATAGGGTAAAATCAGTCGTAACCTTTTCCCAATGTTCAAATGAGGCAGCAGCGAATTGGTATATTTGAATCAAGAATATTTGTTGCACCGAGAGTGACCCGACTACCAATTAAATCCAATAAAAAAAGTTAGGACTAATTTTAGCCTACTCTTGCATTCAGATTTTTACTCACAAAAACCTTCATAACTCCTCGCCCAGAAGCCCGCAGCAGATAGCAAAGGTAGATTTGGAATCACCGTTCCAAGCTCTACAAAGCAGTATACACCACATTTCAAAAGGCCACTTCGACTGACCTTCCTTCCCTTGTTAGATATTTGCAATAAAACGGTGTGGGTACAGCGATTACTTTTTAATTGATATGCAATATATTAGGTTGGCGGATAATTTTCGTTACACTTTTATTTTTATTTTTTTAGAATCTAAGAAACTTTCGAAAATTCTTATGTTTGAGGATTTCTGGCGGGTGTAAAGGTGTACCCGCCGGTACTGTCAGATCCGCGGTCCGTGCTCGAAACACCCACTTTATTGGTGGGAGTACATTTTATGGACATTTTGTCAGCGGGCTGGCATTCTTCCAGATGATCGAAGAGACGGAGCGATGGGGTACGACCAGGGTATGGTCCATAGTTTTAGCGAACATAGGGGGAGACGGTACAATCATGTCCGCACACGGTCACATGAGCTACATGTTGCATCATGTCAGCGCACGCTGGCATTCTGACATGGGGAACAATCTTCAAAAATCTACAAAAATTATTTCCAACCTTTCTGTAATAAATCCTGCACGATGCACTCGAGAGAAAAATTTTCGACAAATTTTTGATTTTTTGAGTCGTTTTTCAACTCTTTTTTTGGCGTGCTAGGGGCACCGAAGTGCTACCATGAAAAAAACATTGCGAAAATGTGTTTTAAAAGAATTATAGGAGAGAAAAACACAGTTAGACGCAAAGAAAAAAATCAAAGAAAAAGTGGCAATATCGAGTGCGCTTATAAAGTTGTCGTAAAGTTGCTGGCTAATTGTACATTTGCATCATCAGTCATACTGTTTGTACGCCCTGCCTTGACCTACATATGGATCAACTTTGAAGGTCTAGAAAACTTCTGGAACTTTTCAGAATTTTACGAAAATGTGTAACATAAATTATCCGCCAACCTGCTCAGACAGCGGATCGGACCCCTCCGCCGGAGAAGTAGCAGGGTCGCGGCGTATCCCCAGCGGTGGGTCTCCCATTTGTCCGGCGGAGCCCTCCCATTTTCTGCTCCGGATACCTCCCATTTCTGCTCCGGATACCTCCCATTTTCTGCTCCGGAGACCTCCCATCTTCTGCTCCGGATACCCCCCATTTTCTGCTCCGGATACCCCCCATTTTCTGCTCCGGATACCTCCCATTTTCTGCTCCGGAGACCTCCCATCTTCTGCTCCGGATACCCCCCATTTTCTGCTCCGGATACCCCCCATTTTCTGCTCCGGATACCTCCCATTTTCTGCTCCGGAGCCCCCCGATTTCGTGCGCCGGAGCCCCCCGATCGCGGCATACTGTAATTAGTCCTAATTAAAGGCAGCTTCCAGGCAGATCTGGACCTATGGGGCTTTTACATGGAAAGTACTTTTGGGGCCCTAACTAAGGCACTGCCGAAGCAGCAGCTCAGGTAGTGCTCCAATGGCTGATATATTCCCCTCGAAACAGACCCCCGCGAACGTACTCGCATGGATTCATGGCAGTTTCGCGCCAGGATCCACTCTTTGCGCCATGAATCCATGCGAAACACGGTCGCGGGGTCCGGTTTCGAGCAGAATATCTCAGGCGTTAGAGCACTACTTGAGCTGCCGGTTGGGTAGTGGCTTAGTTAGGGCCCCAAAATACTTTCCATGTAAAATCCCCATAGGTCCAGACTTGCCTGGACGCTGCCTTTAAGCTCCAAACCCCAATTTTGTCTCTAAACCCCACCCAAATAAGCCGAATAGGACCCCCCCCGGGTAGGAGTTTAGCGCGACCCTCACCCCGTACTCTACCCCCTCCCTCTCACCCCTAGCGTTTGTGGATAGAAGATAGAAGAAAGAACGAAGAGATAAGACATTTATTTCAAATTTATCGAACTTTCGAAAAATCTATCTATCTATCTCCAGCATACGTACAACAGTTAATTCATATTACAAAAACCATACTAGGAGTGATAAGAATATTCAAAGAAAAACTAATTTCCTAGTTGCAAAAAGAACCTTGTAACACCACAGTATAAGCATATGGTTTTAACATGGTAAGAAAATGACAAAAAGATCAAAAAAGCATTCTGTGCAACATGAAACAAAACAGCGAGGAACGCCATAAACTCACATTTGCAAAGCAGGGACATATTGTCCAAGTGCGATATATACATGAGCTATATTCATCCAAACATCTTCGAATTCCGAGGTCCAAGGCCATACTGGGGCAAAACGAAAGTAGGATGATTCAACGTAGTTGCTTGATAATAGTACTAGGACACGATGATGACATGGATTGAAATTCTTGCATATGCAACTTACCTTGAACGCCTTTTCATAGTCTCTGTTGAAATGGAAAAACCGCGCAAGAATGTAACAAGCTTCGGCCTTGATTTCGTCACTTTCCGTCATACTCATTGCATGCCACGCTAACCGTTCAACCTTGTTCATTTCCTGAAAAAGTGATGCCTTCAGATAAAGCGATAAACACCTCGATGTAACAGCTTGGACAAATTTAAAAGGTCCCTTTTATAGATAATTCGTAATTAATTCAAAGAATTTCTGCACTGACTCCTTTGAAGAAGAAGTGGTTGGCAAGATGGACCAAGACAACCGGATTCTCCGGCTCCAGACTATACGCTTGGCCTAGACAAGCCACTGCACTTTGGGCTCCCTCGACAGTATGCGTATTGTAATCCAAAATGGCAAGTGCTGAGAGAGCACAAACATTGTCATTTTGCAATTCCAACGCTTGTTCAAAAGCGATTCTGCAAATTGTAATTGAAAGTCACATAAACAGTAAAGAAGAAGCTATGTGACTCAAACATTTCACATTTACATGCTTACCTAGCCTTATCAGTCCCTAATCTCGCTAAGCAATACTGGAAGCAATGTGATGTGACTAAGCAACAGTAACAGTCACAATGCTTCAGTAACAGTCACAAAACTTCAACATCGTTTGGAGTTGCCTCCAAGACTTTTGTCAACATATCTCTTGCCTTGTCCTATCTTTCAAGCCAGAAACGATATAGTGAGGATCTGCAACGTCTGATGAAAAGTCGATCGACTTGGTAAGCATACGTACGAGAGAGATAGTGTGGACCCCGGCCAGCTTCAGGTACTAGCGCGGCGCACACGCAACGCGCGCCCGACTTGAACGCTTCTCATTTCACTTACGAACAAAAAAGCATTATAACCGAAAACAGGAGTGAAATGAGATGTGGAGGCCTCTAATCCGAACACGAGAAAAGCCAAGGCAATAGGAGAACCTTCACAACTTCTACTACTAGCGCTCAGATTCCAGTCAATCTCATAAATAACTGGAATCTTCTATTATCCATCGCTAGTAGTGTATGACACTACCAGCGATGGATGATAGAAGTAACAGGAAAAGTCGAAGAACAATTCTGAAAAGTCTTCCTTCTGTTCATAAAAAAACCCAGAAAGTTTGAGCTCAAGAGCACGATTGCAAAGCTCTGATGGTGTAACAAAAGGCTAGAGGCATCTACACTCCACAAAATCAACTGCATATACACTTATTCTAAACATTTGGAGAGATGTCTCTGAACTACACCGAAATCTTCACTATTGAGAAAAAAACAAGATTTTCGAAACAAATGCTTGCAAGACTGTCAAGACTCGTAAAAATCCATCACCAGCAGTTGACGTGTGTCGTTTACATCTAAAGTAGAGATTACAGAAGAGAACAAACACACTTGAAAGAGGAAATTGAAAGAAATCCCTTCAGAGCCGAAACGAAAAGCGCACTGAAGGCATGCGCTGCGGGCGCGCCGCGGAGGTACCTATGGGAACCTGGCCGGGGTCCACACTATAGCAATAAACGGATTATTTAGACGATACTTTCATCACAACAACACTAGATAGTTGCGCAACTAACCTCATTGTTTCGAAAATCCAGAATTAATCACAAAAACCACTCCATCAATAGTCTACGATGTCTCAGCAAGTCGGAAAGAGCCAAACACTGAAGGTGATTGAGTGCAACCGCACGAAAATTTCAAACATAAACCTGAAAACGAGGAACTTACAGCAACATAAACGCCAACGCGACGAAGAGCAACGCGGAAAAGGAAAAAACGGTAAAGAAACGCGCAAAAACAACAGAATCAAATAAACGGCGACTAAAATATGGACAAAGAGCGTAAACAGAGGACTCATCACCGTGGAGTTAGACGTTTGCTTGCTACGCG